TTGTATCTGAGTTATAATAACAAGAATGAGAAAATCAAATGTAAATTGTTCTGTGTTTGGAAATTATCTATTAATTAAGGTTACATTACCTCAATCACTTAAAGAAAATTATCCCAAAAGAAGAGTAATCATTGACTGTACAGAAATTAAAACTGAAAAGCCATCATCAGTTCAACATGAAATTCAGTTTTATTTCTACTATAAGTCTGCTTATACTATAAAATGTTTAATTGGAATTTCCTTCATGAGGACTTCAATGCAGCCTCCAATTATAAATGAGTGAATTTTTTATTGTGAAAACACTAAAACTATTTACTTAAATACTATTTACAATCGCAGGTAAATAATAACTAAAAGTAAAACATTTGCTTTTTCTCTAATAGTGAACCAATTAATGTTTCACTATTAGATTATTTTTTATCTCTACATGTGTAAGGACATTTGATTTCGAGTAAGCTTACTTTATTTCCATTTTTGCATATACCATCAGGGTTTACACAAATCCAGGGAGCTTCATTACAAATGATAACTCCTGCATCAGCAGGCCAGATGGCCGAGCTGTCAAGGTGGCAGCCTACCGCTTTGGGGTACCCGGAATCGAATCCGGACAGGTCAAGAAATCCGCAGGAATTTTTCGGGGGGTAATTCGTTCGGCTATGTCGGGCCCTGTCCCCCACCACCCAGTCATTTCATTGTTGGCCTGGCCGAACCCATAATGGGCTTGCTTAAAGAGGCTCTCTTAGTGCCCACAGGGCAGAAACAGTATAAAAAGAAAACCTCCTGTATCAATTATTCTAATACGTTTTTAAGCGAAAAAGAATTTTTTGCATTTTTTTCTTATTTAATTTCATAATCAGTTGCAATTGTTTTCTTGAATGTACTCGTATTATTCAAAAATCTAAAAGCCAAATTTTCTAAATTGCTTTTTTTTTATAGAATGAGCCATAGAGCTGCTTAATCTGTATATCGTTTGTAAATGAGCCAGTCTAAACCTCTGCTTTATTTTCTTGTGAGATAGGCTATTTGAGTAATTTTTGGAAGTGTGATAACCACATACCTGAAATTATAAAACTAAAAAGAACTTAATCCATTTAAAAACGTTATATTTATAAATAGTTTTTCAACAATTTTATAACAATTATCCATAAGTTTACTTTAAATTATGGTGTAATTAAAGATTTAAAATATAATTCCTTACATTGTACATGAACTGTGTTGATTAAATCAGACAGAAACACTTGACATTGTGCATCTTCAACGAATTCAGCTCTCAACATTGAATAAAGAGCACAATTAATGTGTTTTATTCTTTTGATATAATAAAAAAGTTGGTGCATTTGATGATAGTGATGCTGGTATTTATATCCGTTTTGGTATTACATAATTACTAAGGCGGCATTCATCTGATGTGTGTATCTTATGTTGTGGAATTTCCCACTGTTGTTTTCCACTGGTAACACTTTGTTTTCTATAATTATTTAATGCAAAAATCGTTCCTGCTACATGTTTACACTGTCCATGGATACCTCCCTTGCACTTACACGTTGCTGTAAATACTTTTTTTATATGCTGATAACTGAAAATTAAAAACTTTTAAATCATTTTCTGTACCAAGAAACTTTTTCTTTTTTTCTATCTTTAGTAAAGGTTCATATAGGAGAAATCCATCGGATTTTTTTCTCCTATGTGTTATGTAAATATTTTACACCAGGGCGGGTAACCTGCACTCGGAGTCTACAGGCCACTTTAACAACTAGGAATTAGAGTTAATTATTTAGGCATGTATAAATAACATAATTGTCTAAAATATATTCCCGCTAAAAATTGTGGGTAATGCTTAACGTGCTGTAGAATCTTTGCTCTGTTAAGTAAACATAGTTTATTTCGAGGGTCTCAGAACTAATGGACCGAATATAATTTGACCATATGGAACTGATTAGAGGTTTCACGCTGTTTAAGTGATAAGGGTTTAAGGAACCATTAAAACTGGGCGAGACAATTTCATTACACCATCGATAGTTAAACGATCAAAGAATCCATTACGTTAAGTGGGGACTGTAACGCATCGCGCTCGGCGAAAGGAGAAGCGCCGCCATTCTGAGGTCGTTTCGCAGTGTCACACACTTTCCGTTTAGTATACATATTGACTTGGAGAAGCTATGACGCTCGTTTACGTTTCAATTTACAGTTCTCGTCAATCGATTGCGTACACAAAATATTAGTATTAAATATTTATGGTGAATATATATGGTGCTAAAGTTAAAAAATAAAAGAACTTAATACAATGTCAGCCTATACCAGGGGTCGGCAACCTGCGGCTCGCGAGCCACATGCGGCTCTTTGGATGTGAAGCTGCGGCTCTTTAGTTTCATATGCAAATATTATTTATTTTATCAAAAAAAAAACATTTAAAGATCGTTCTGAATCGATTAACGAGGATTAGGCACCGATTCTATCTCTCAGCCACTTGTACTCGCTTTTCACCGCACCCCTCCCCGTGACACGCATCGTCACTGTCGTCAGTCTGTCGGAAGCTCTGGAATGACGCCGTAGTCGGATGTTTCTATTATTTAATTTGTTGTGAAAAACACTACTTATATATGAATAAATAGATTAGTTTTTTTTTAATCAAAAAACTTTATTTACGCAAGTACTATTTATTGTTGGCAAGAAAAAATTTTGTGGCTCTTTAAAAACTTTGAAATTTTGTAAATTGTAATTTTGGCTCTTCCGACTCAAAAGGTTGCCGACCCCTGGCCTATACTCGTAAAAAAACCAACTCAAAATATAGAAATCATATACGGTTGAAAAGGGCTTCTCAAGAGCAATCCTGTCATATTCATAAAACACTGTATGATAGAGTAAAGCGATACCGAGAACGTAAAAAAAACATGGACTTCTAAGCGTCCGCGGACCACACAGCTTGATCGCCATTACATTTGTCACGTTTTCGGTAATACCGTAACATTTTACAACAAAATCCAACAACTTAAGATTTGATAACGACGATTTTTTTTTTGGATTAACTTCGTAGAAAAGCAAGAAATCAATTATTAAATTACTTTTGCTGCAATATTGAAGCTTTTCTAAGATTTTTAGAATCGGAAATATAAAAATTTTAAGTATAATGTTCGTTTTTCCTGTTAAATCCTATATTTTTGCGGTTTATTTTCGTATTATTTAATAATGTTATTGCACGTATAGTATTATTTTAACTTGTCCGATACAAGTGTCAGCCTTACAGAGAAAATAAAATTACTTTAAGTTTTTAATTTAAATTTTTCAATCAGAATCCAGATGACATAAAGTTCGACTCACAATATAAACGGTTTGGTTTTATAGCTGTGTAGGTACATTTTATTCACGGTAAATTTCATTTTTCATGTTTTTTCTGTTAATAAGTGAGTTTCAGTGATGTTATTTGTTGCTTTCACATTATGAAAGTACCATAATTAATTGTATATTATTCAAAGATAAGTGGGGACAGAGAAAGTTAACACTATTCACTATTTTAACCGTACACTAACAAAATATTCTAATTAACTACAGACACTAACAAATTAATAATTAATAAAAAAACACCGATATTCTTTGCCTGTGCGACTGAACTTTGCATCTGTGTGCTCTAACACAAGTGTCACTCAAACTGGGATCTGCAGACAGGTGCTGTCTGTGAAGATAAAAAATTTTGGAAGAGATGATCTAACGCACCATACATCTATTGTTTCGAATCATACATTTTATTTCCAAACAGAAAAGCCTTTGTATTATATAAATTATTGCTAGAATTTCACTGTGAATGAAGAACAAAAGGAGTTTCCATTGAGTTGTGTGCAAGACTTTTTCGACAGCTATATCCAGATTGCAAAAAAGAAACATCGAAAAGAAAATATGCCCAGCAGGTTCTAATCTTGTAATTGAATGTTACAGACAACCACTATATCAAAAACTTATGGTACTTCGTTATTAATTTTATTGTTGATTAATATCTTTCATTTCAATCATCTCTTATTCAAGTTACACATTCAAATCGACATGGGTTAATGTTAATATTACGTTGCTATTGAGATTAAACTTCTTGTTTGAGGAATACTGACCAAATGCTGAAAAGAATGTAATATGAGGGCATAGACGTTTTCAAAAAAAACACATTTTTTGTCAAAATAATTAACATCCTAATACACAGTNACTTCTTGTTTGAGGAATACTGACCAAATGCTGAAAAGAATGTAATATGAGGGCATAGACGTTTTCAAAAAAAACACATTTTTTGTCAAAATAATTAACATCCTAATACACAGTACATAATATATTGTTATATAACTCTACTTCAAACTTTAAAATAAGAGTGTTAAGACAAATATAAGGCATGTGTACTTGTATTGATAAATTTAGACGACAAATCTATAATTATTTATTGTTTCATACGAAGATGATCGTTATTAAATCTTAAGTCAATTGGTTTTGTCCGTAACAAATGCAATGTTTATCAAGCTGTTGTTTGCGGACATTTCCAAGTCCGGAAAGTTCTTAGGAACACGTTTGTAAAATCACGTGGTTGGAGTAACCGAAGTTTTCGGGTAATCACGTGTCCAAAGTCATTTATACCATACAAAGAAAACGAATTTAAAGAATGGCGGCTAAACGATGCAGACTCTGAGTAGTCCTGTTGTTTTTTGTTTATAATGTTTTTGAATGTTATTCATCGACTAAAGGTTTAAATTTTTTGTGTTTTGGGGATGTCTGTTAAATGTTATTTATAAAAAGCAAATTAAAAGAAATAGTATTAATAAATAGATTTACGAACAATAACTCTAAGTTTAAATCGACTTGAAATTTTTACTTGCCGTATTTATACATTTTTCCATAAATTTCTTATATTCTGCTAGAATAAGAAAATAATTGTTTTTTTTAGAATTATATTGTTTTTTGAAAGTTAACTAAATATTGAAAACAACACATTATTAATTCCAAAATTAATTGTTCTTTGTAGAAAATTTTCAAAATGAATAATGTGGATGCATTGACAGAGACATCGTCAACATCTCAAGAAATCTCTTCTCGTGTGTTAAAAATACCAGAAATTTTACTTCGCATATTTAGATATTTAAGCGACGAAGATCTACAACAGTGTGGCCAAGTGTGCAGTTCCTGGAAAGATGTTACTAAAGACATCTTATATAAGAAAATAGCAATTTTTCGTAAGGTTACTATGTTTTTTAAATTTTATACATTCAATTATTAATCTTTTTATACTGCATACTGATACATGTCTTAATTTCAATTATGCCAACAGAATTAATTACAGTAGACCCCTATAACACGGGTTTATATAATACGGATTCGTATAACACAACGAAAAAATTGCGCTCGTATTCGTATAAACACGCTAAAAACACTCGTATAATACGGTAAAACGTCATCGCCGACTCGTGTCGCGACAGGATTGGACGAATCTAAACCAATATCGGATATTTCACAAACCGTTCAGTTTGAACAAGCAGCAAACTTTCTAAAAACATTTATGATTTAACGGCCATAAAAATTATATTTATATTAAAAATGTCTCCAAAGTTCAGCGAATTTTTTGAAGAAAAATAACTTATCAGAAAACACGCGCCCGCCGCACGATGCGCCGCTCTGCGACGAAAACAAGCTTAAGCAATGAAGTCGCCGAACGGTGCATACTCGGTAAGTAATCCTACAATTTTTTGTTTATAGCATAGTTTATATGGATTATTCCCGAAAAATTATACGTGTTTTGGAAATGTTGGGTCAAATCTATATACTGTATATAACCCATTCAACGGGTATCCGTCTGTCTGTCCCGTAACCGTTCGATAATGGACACTAGAGGCGCCCCTATCGTGTGTCATATTTCAAACATTCAAATTAACAATTTTAATTCTTATTTAAATTAACAATATGAATTATTATTATTCATTTGCCCAATGAATTATTATTTGGTCAATATAACAATATAAATAATTTAATATATTTGTAATTCGAATTTATTATTTCAGGGGCTTAAATCTCGCGAAGGGTCGCGAGTAGAGGCATGGTTCCTTTGCCTTTATTGTTCGCATAGGGGGCTACAGTTTGGGGGTCGCCACCTCTTCACCTAATCTTACCATTGGGACTTTAACAGAGCTGTAGAGCATATTGATAGTAACAAAAAACTCAAAGGAACCGTGCTTCATGGAAATTTGTAAACAACGCCCATTAGGGGCATCCCGGGCTACTAGTCAGTCTAGAATCGATTAATTTTATGGAAGAAAATCTTTCAAACAGCAGTAGTCCCTAAACTGCACACGTGCCGTGCTGTGATTGGCTCATGCATTTAAGTGACTCGTAAAACACGAAATTCATATAAAACGGAACGAATCTATTGTGTTATGGAGAGTCTACTGTATCTGCCTAGTTTATAAAAAGTTTAAATGCGACTCGAAGAAAATTGTACAGGATTTATGTTTCATATATTGTATTAAAAGTTTACGAAAGTATCGAGCATTCTATATATTTACATAAAAATATATGAAACTAGCTGTTACCCGCGACTTCGTCCGCAGAGGTTTTGCAAGCAAACCCCATTTACATTCAATATTTCAATAACCATAGTAATTGTTATATAACACCTACTGCTGAAGAGAACTGCCGAGAATCAAACGAACTATTTTCAATTTGATCAATTTTCCGGAACGTTTACAATCGTTCTATAATCGAACCAATATGCAATAACAAATTCGAATTTAAAACGGTTCGAACATTTTTAAAATCGAAATAGATAAAAATATTTATAACAATGTCTGAAATGTTATCAATTTAATACACCTAAGTACTCAATGAAGACTAAACGTAGTTAAAAACAAAAAATCGCATGTGAAGTAGTACAGTAGAAGCCGTTCTTCCGTTTAAGCCTTAATGCTCTCCCTCACCCCCGTAGGGGAATTTCTAAAAATCCCTTCTTAGTGTGCATTGCCATGGCGTACTCTACTAAAACGCAGATAAAAACAAAAAATCGCATCTAAAATAGTACAGTAGAAGCCGTTCTTCCGGTTAAGCCTTAATGCTCTCCCTCACCCCCCACTTGAGAATTTCGAAAAATCCCTTCTTAGTGTGCGTTTTCATGACGTACCCTAACTGTGTACCAAATTTCACTTCTCTTGGTCCAGCGGTTTGCTCTGGGCAATGATGAATCAGTGAGTGAATGAGTGAGTCATTCAGTCAGTCAGGACAAGCAATTTTATATATTTAGATGACTATTGCATATGTGTACATCATTGAACGACCTATTCATACTCGTACTTGTATAGGTAGGCAGTTTAGAGTTGTATTTAAACTGTTCATTTGTACATAAACACAGCTAAGTCTTTATACTGAGCTCACTGAATAGAGTAAACAACTTTTGTCAGTTTTCCTAGTCATCATGCATATAATTAATTGCACATAAATTTTACCTCACACAATCATATAATAGAAAAATAACAGCTTGCATTTAATATTAACAAAAAATGCATATTAAAAATGGCTTCTTTTATTATTTTTATTCCATTTTAACTATTCAGCTACTTAAACAATAAACATACTTTTGGTGGAATAAATATATCATACTTTCGTTTGGTAAAATATATGAATAAAAAACTTTTGTCAAATTAATTTCTCATATTTTAACAGAAAATACCAATTTCAATGTTGAACACCTTAGCAGACAATTCTGAACAACTACGTTCTTTCGTCGGATATAGTGATTACTTTCAGTACCTATGGTTCTATTTGAAACCATGTATGATTTGCCCTTGTATGCCTCCACATCGTACAGAACATACAATTCCATCAGGAGATGAATCATTCGATGCACTTACCTTCCTCAAAGAAAATAAAAACAGTAAGTACTTGAATTTTTCACGATTATCACTTCTATGATAAACAGTATTCATGTTTACTCTTTCACATAATTACAGAAGAAAACGTCCAACTATCATGTGATGTTTACTCATTGTCAGAAGACGAAATCGAAATAAATATCGCAATCTTTCCATCAGTTCCTGGCTTCAATATTCGTCATTTTTCATTTACATTCAATGAACGATTTATATTTTATACAAGAAAAATGCTGTACGTATCACAGCTACTCAACATACCAGAAGAGAAACTGAAGTGCGTCATCGGAATTAAAGATTATGGGATCTATTTCCACGACAATGGAACTGGTGCATACACTACTTACACGCTCGAAGAGAAGATAAGAAAAGGCATTGCTTTCTATGGTGAGAGAGTTCAGGCAGTTTCTTTATGTGTCCAAAGTAGCGAATGCGATTATCGTAATGTTAAAGAAAAACTAGAGAGACTGAAACGTTTGAAACCAAAAATGGTGCAAAAAAGATGTTTTGCATTCATTTTTCATAACATGTATTGTGATATATGTAAATGTCCAATATTTCAAGCGTTCAAAACAGTATTTCCATTTGTTACCTCCATTGAATATTCCGAGTTACCTCAGTTTGAAGTGCTGAATCCACCCGAAAACTTCAATTTCGATTGTGTTAATGTAGGTACTATATTTACACAAGTTGTAAGAATAGTTTTTGTATGGTACGAATAAAAACGTAATAAGAAAATTCAGTATTTTTTACCTCGAAGCAAATTGAATCATGTTGCGACATTGTACATTCTTTTGTATTCGGCTAAATTATGTTTTAACATCAGTTCAATACTGTAGTGAAGAGTTTGTGATGAAGTGAATACTCTCAGGAATATCTTAGTAACTATTTGAATGTCGTTTATAAAGAACAACATTAGTGCAAATTTACTTTAAAAATAATAAATTTTAACGGAGAATTGTTAAGTTAAATAGTAAAATTTTTAGAAATAAAACTGTAGTTATATCACTAATCTGATGCTGTGAAGTTGTAAAGTTAAAGTTGGCCTCTATTTATACAGTCGACCTCTCTATAACACGGTAGATACGTTCCGGTTTCTATGAAATTCATTTTCTACGAGTCCTTAAAGACATGAGCCAATCACAGCCCGGCACGTATGCAGTTTACGGACTATGGCTGTTTGAAAGATTTTCTTCCATAAAATTAATCGATTATAGACTAATTAAACTCAACATTTCCAAAACACGTATAATTTTTTGGGAATAATCCATATAAACTATGCTATAAACAGAAAATAGTAGGATTACTTACCGAGTGTGCACCGTTCGACTACGCCATTGCTTAAACAAAAGAATAACAATCCTTACAGCTATATTTCTCAAATAAAAGTATTTATTTTAAATTATTTTTATTTTTTCATATACTTTATTTGTAAAAACACTTTTTGGAGGAGTTTTTATTTCGCGGGAATTATTTCCCGGAAATTCTTTCGGATGTCAGATTCGCGTTTAAGCAGAAATAATTTATTTTAAATTATTTTTATTTTTTCATATACTTTATTTGTAAAAACACTTTTTGGAGGAGTTTTTATTTCGCGGGAATTATTTCCCGGAAATTCTTTCGGATGTCAGATTCGCGTTTAAGCAGAAATAATTATTTCATATAAAAAATACATTTTTGTGGATTTCTTAGTTGCATTTGAATTGGAACAAGGGTATCAAAGGAGTTAAATCAATATCGCAGATATCTACTCATATCTAAATCATCTGTAGAAAATTTTCAAATTATAAACGATAATCTCACGATTTTTAAAATGAAGAAACCTAATTAAATTCTATACAAACCAATTTATATAGGTTTTTGCGTATTAGAATTAAGCAAATTACATATATGAAACATTTTATAAAATATTTAAAAACAGGTATGGTAAAAATGTACATTTATTATATACTGACACGGATTCTCTTACACTTCAAATTTATACAAACGATGTTTACGAGCATTTTAAATCGTTTTCCTATATCTTTGATTTTAGTAATTATTCTAAAACTCACAAATCATATAACGAAACGAACAAAAATAAATTAGGATATTTTAAAGACGAAGCCCTATCGAAATCGTTAATTGAATTTTGTTCACTGAAACCAAAAAATGTATTCTTAAAATTTTTTATAAACAAAATTTAAAAAACTGCTAAAGGAGCAAAAAATCTGTAGTAAAAACATTTAATCATAATAAATATAAAGACAAACAATATAATTTTATAGAATACAGAGCTATTAAGGCAACAGCAATATGGAATTAAAAGCAAAAATCATATACAGTAGAGCGTCGTTTATCCGAAGGTCGGTTATCCAAAACGTCGGTTATCCGAAAGAATTCCAGTAGACAAATTTAAATTTTTTGCCAGTGCTGTGGCGCTGTAATCTTTGGCTATGTCTTGGGCTACTGAAATATTTTACATAATTGGTTATCCGAAAAATAAGTTATCCGAACAAGCCCAGTCCCCAATTGATTCGGATAAACGACGCTCTACTGTAGTAACAACGTATCTCCAAAATAAAATTTCTCCATGATTGAAGTTTTTGACTATTTACAAAAATATAAAATTTTTGAGTCTATCTTAATCTTTTTATATACAGAAATTGTATTAATATTATACAGAAATTATATTAATAAATTGTATTAATAAAATTTCTCTTTTATACACAGAAATTGTATTAATATACAGAAATTGTATTACAGAAATTATATACAGAAATTGTATTAATAAAATTTCTCTTTTTCCATTTTATGATAAAAAATTCATTATAGATAATGGAATAAATGTACTATCGTTCGCTCATTACAATTTCTATTTTTAATTCTTACAGATATTCCCATATCATTATCATTGCAGTATGGGTTTTAATACTATACAAAAGAAAAACTACTTATGTGATAGTTTGTAGTAAACTTACCCGTGTTTAAAACAAACGTATATTGAGGCAGCTCAATTATTATTTTTATATATACTCAAATATTCAAATAAAACAACAAATAATATTTTAAAAAATTGTTTATTTCTTTGTAGACCATAAAGCCTCATTGACTGGAAAACTTTCTTGTCTTCACCTCTAAAAAACGAACTATCCGTCAATTTAAAAATTATGTTCATTGGGATACAATCAGTGGACGACACGATTTAACTAACACGTTTATTTCGGAATCCACTGATTACTTAAATTCAGAATACATATGGAAAAATTACCGTTTTTCAATCATATTTATTATGCAAAACATTAAATATGCGAAATGGGATTTAATTTGCCAATACCAGAGATTAGATGAACGATTTCTAACAAGTTTTTCGGATCATCTTGTGTAAGTTCGCTGACCTGGTGGAGATTGGAGACTTAAAATCCCACTCCTCAGACACCAATGTAAGTTTGCCGACTTCCAGGGGGAATCGTTAATCCCGCGTCAGGATGATCTAGGGTCGTTCGCGTGTAGGTGTGGCAGAGGAGACACAGATGACAAGAATCTCACGAAAACCCGTTTATTTTAAACATAAAAGTAAACTTACACTAAAGAACAAATAATGTCTAGATACAATCGGCTGTTTGGAAGTCGATGCTCCTGTAGTTGTTTATTGCTTAGGCGGCCTGGGGCAGTGATGTTTTATGGTTCGTGAGACTCCATTGGTCGGCGACAGCACGGTTTCGGTATTGTCACCAAGACGAAAAAGAACTTTTTTGACACAGCACTTCCGATTTTCACACACTTTTGTCTTGACTCGCCAAGTGTCGTGTCGAGTGCGTCTTGCCCACTGCATCTTGCCAAGTGCCCCGATTGTCCTTTAAAATCGGGGATTATATCAATCTCCATTCTTTGTTTTGTTTTCTTCTGATTGGCTCCACGTCCCTTTTTTCTCGCTCCCCAATTGGTCTCTCGTCTGTCCCTGAGCGAAAGACGATTCCTATTCGAGTCACCAGAAAGATCCACTTCGAAGAATCTAATTGACACCATCCGTTACTCTGGATGCAAAATGTTGATGGAACTTTGAAACTTGCGCTCATATTTTCCACCATTGTTGTCTAGTCTGTGACGTTTTTGAAATTTAACGACACGACGGGATATCCCTTTCCGTCATTAATCTTTCCTCTTTTCAAAATTTCTATGTTCTAATTATTTGAATATGAGCGACTTGTCAAAGGTCCATCTCTACTGGAGGTCGTTCGTTTACAATTATTAATCATTAATAATTATTGCGTTCTGTTTACATCAATACAGATTTCTTCTCGTCGCGGTTTCATATGACTAGAACAACTAATTCGATCTTTGATCGGTTTTTAACAATAGACGATTTTTTTCTAGTTTCGTTTTAATAAATTTCTGATAATAAATCTTTAATTTCAACTCATTTTTGGGACCTCACACTTTTTTAGAACAAAGTCGCCGAATATCAACATCTTTCGGATGATTTTATTATCCTCTTCATAAATAAATTTGATATAGAAAAAATTTTAAATACCAACAGTTAAAAACCTCAACTTTATGCCAAATACAAGAATACCTGAACTGGAATTTTGTTTCTCGTTATCAAAATCTTAAGGAACAATTTATTGACGAATTCCAATGTCAACTTTCTTGGTGTCACATTATAAAATATCAAAAATTAGATCGAGAATATATCGTTCGCAGTCGTGATTACTTATTCTTGTATTTAATGGGGGAAATGTGCATTAGTATAAATAAATTGAAAGAAAAACTGAAAACAATTAAGTAAACTGTAATGTAAATATTTCCATGTATTAATGTAAATTAAATATTTAAAAAAATCAAAATAATTTCAGTGTTATATTATTTCAAATTACCAGTCACTTCATGGAAATATTAATAATAAAATTTTAGCTTATCTGAAAAGTTACTCATAAAGACAACAAATTTAATTTTGTGATTACAGTGTGTTAAACCACTACTACTTATACATATATATAACAATCAAAATATGTATACGCAATGTACAAGATCCCCAGACTTCAAATCCATGCGATTTTTACTCTGGGATTATCTCAAAGACTTGATCTATCATCATGCAGTTAATGTCCGGCTATAAGGACAGCTTAGCACGCTATGGGCGTAACATTCTAAGGCATACACAGCATGCAATAGGGTTTCTCTAACAGAATCCCGGCTGTTTTTTAACACAGGAAATATTCCGAGATATTCTTTTCGTCGCGGAAGATTCTGCAAATTTCTTAAAAGTTCACTTCTTTCCTGAAAACTTGGGTAAAGCAGAGGACCGGGAAATGAGAAATCCTATCATGCAACCATTGAATATTCTCTTTTTCGCTTTCAGATGGTAGCAGACAAGATGACCATCGTGTTTTTAACATTTTTTTCGTTCATACTAGACAGATAACTTGTTTAGATCGTTATATTCTGTATGAAGTTTTAATACGCCCTTGGTGCTTTTTGAAACTAATTTATTTTTTGTTTTAGAAAAAAATTAGCATTATTTAATTAAAGCATCCCCAAGCTTTCGTGGCTTTTTGATGAATAATTTTTGCTGTAGTCAGCTGGAAAATTGATTACACGTGAAATTGGTACCGACATGTGCTTAAAAAAACGACAAATGAAATTACGCGATTTTATCCTAAAAAGCGAGAAATTCGGATAAGCCAGGAATTTCATCACAAAAACTGAACTTTACATTTCTGTGTGCATATGTCTGCGAGTTATTTAACATGCATTATTATGCAAATTAATATAAAAATAACATAAAATTAAACTAAAATTTAAAAATTGAATTATGACTATTTACAAAAAATTTTTTTAATTTTTCCGAGTCTATCTTTCATACTTTTAACACACCACAGAAGTAACAGTATATTGGCTTGGATGAACTTCCACAGAACACGTGATTAATTATAACGAAACACACACAAAGTTAAAAACGATCGAAACGCCGACCTTTTATTTGAGGATTCGGCGCTTTTTAACATTATAACAATGGTTACAATTTCTGACTATAACTATCATGTTCTTTAGCACAATATATAACTGGTTTAGGCCCTCTGGTGGCGATTTTGGATAATCATAAAGTTCATTTGCATAATTTATCACGTGTTCTGTGGAAGTTCATCCAAGCCAATATACTGTTACTTCTGTGGTGTGTTAAAAGGATAAAAGATAGACTCGAAAAATTAAAAAAAATTTGTAAATAGTCATAATTCAATTTTTAATTGAAAATATCCTGGGTTGCTCATGTTATCATGTATGCTATTAAACTAAAATTTGTTTATTTTTGGTTGCACGTTTTTCTTTCTATATTTAGGTTGATTTTAATAAATTTCACTTATAAAGATTCGATAATTTAATGCTGCACGTGGAAATCCGACATAATTTTTCAATAAATCTATGATATTTGATCACTTTTAATTAATAAATTCAATAATAAATAAATAATCCGTTTCTACTATATTCTAATGTAAAGCAATGAAATGACAAACCTGAATGATTTATTTCACATTACAAATTAGAACAAACAAAATAAATTTCCAGCAAGCCATTTAATCCGAAATAAATTTCTCTTCTATAAACAAATCTAAAAATTTATTAAATGAATTTACTTGACGTATGTACTTTACTGCCAGATGAATTTTATTTGACTTGTTTAAGTGGAAGTACAAACAAAACCTCTACATAACTGCTTACCCAATTTAGTTTATGTAATGTTAAATTGATTTATGTATTTAAATATTTGTATAGTTGACTGAATTGAATTCTAAATCTTGTCCAGTGATGTAACAGAGGATGTGAGAGTAATTCTCGCCAGTTAATAAAAGCGGCGTACTTCAGTGTCCTACTTTCTTTAATTCAATAAATCCATAGCTAAGTAATTTGATTTGCAAAAATATCAATTTTGTAATCATGGAGATTTTACATTTTCTACAGAAGATATCTCGTATAACAGCAATTCATTACGTCCACGAATATACAGACGAAGACAAATTCAGCCGTAATTTCTACAAATTTTACCAGAATATCGTAGAATTTTTTCTTTATTTTAACACGATTTTAACATTATTTATGATGTTAAAAATCGACGTCGTTTGTGACGAAATTATCTCACATTTTTCTGACACGGCCGAGTTTTTAATGCCGACCATATTAATGACGTTCGTTTTAGCCTGTTTCCAATTTAGTCTCTTTAAAAGATTTAAATATCCGAATCCGATCCAAATAAGTGGCGATGTCAAACCCGAGTTGTATCAAAATATTTTCAATTTACTTGTTCTCGGTTCCATTTCCTTTATTATCTACATAATGTCCTTCGTTTTTTACATCGATTTATTCATATTTCCCGTTTTGTCGAAATATTCTTTATTCGAAGGAGTTTTTTGTAGTATCGATTTTACTGTTTTTTTAATCTTTAATGCCTATAACCTTTTCACTTTCGTATTTTCTCAGATTATTCTATTTACGTTCGTATCCGACTACTTGAAGCGACTAAATTCTACATTTCTTCAGATGATTACATCTCCTGAAAATGTTCAAAGTTTCGAAAATATCATACGACCTCATTCCCGGATTTGGTTGCTTATCGAAGAAATAAATGAGATCGGAAAGTACTTCTTTCCATTAATGTATTGCTATGCCATTTATAATACAAGTTTTAGTATAATTCTTGCGATTTTCTTCGATTTAGATCCACGTTTTAAAGGAGAACTTTTAGGACATTTCTTTTTTATTTTGTTTTTAAGCATTGTAGTTTCTTATGGATTATCAAGAATAAATGCTCAGGTGAGATATAAAATAATTAATATAAGACATAATAAATGTCATTTCAATTATATATTGTACTTGTTTATTAATTAGCTGTACGGCAATTTTTACGAATGCGACATTTTATCTTCGAGTCGTTGTTCTGTTTTGTATAAACTCAAGGTAGTTCTTATTGTCATTTTCTTATATTAATATTATTGACACGATGTGTAATTTATATTTGTATATTTATTCTTGTTAGATTTTGGATTTCATGAAACGGTTTGGACGAACACCAATTGGTTTATCTGTCGGAGAACTTTTCTGTATAAAAAAGAATTTCGTCATCAGAGTATGTGATATTTAAATTTATATTTTTATATTACTTGAATTTTGCAAAAATTTCTGATAAGTACAAACTTAATCGATTTGTATTTTCAGGTGATCAGTGCCATTTACTCGCTTCTTTCGTCTCTCCTGGAACTGGCAACAACAAATGATAATGCCTGCAACACACAAATTACAAAAACTGGAAATCTGTCATTTACTGATTGAAATCGATAAAAATCTATTGTGATGAAAACTTTCATAGGTTTCATTTTGGTATCTGAATTATGTTTTGTTAACGTCACATATGTAGATAATTAATGTACAGTACGTATTATATGTTAGTATGCTCTTGCACATTATACATTTTACATTAGGCCCTTGTATTATATCTAATCGCCAAACATATGCCGTAAATCCATCGGGCTAGTTTTAAGGCTAATTACTAAATAAATTACGTAATTAATTTGGCACTAGAGGTAAGCGTTAGGCGCCATCTCTTATTAATATTAATAATTATAAATAAATTAATTAATTTAAATAATTTAGAACCGCTGGGAGAAAAAATCGGCCCGGAGCGGGACTCGAACCCACAACTCCTGCTCACCGTGCAGATGCGTTGCCAGTTACGCTATCCGGACCTCCGATCCGATCTCCTCTTCCAGCGTATAACTATGTAACCATCGACGGTTATACGTAATTTATTTAGTAATTAGCCTTAAAACTAGCCCGATGGATTTACGGCATATGTTTGGTGATTAGCTATATTACTTCGGGTTTAGCGATGTTTATATATATTACGCCTTGTATTATATGTTATTAGGATATTTCAAAATGTCTAGTTTATAAATAGTACATGTTATTCTATCTTAATTTAGTTTGTTCATTTTTACAATGCAGTGGATATATATACAGAATCCTAAGATAACACGACGGACTAAGAAAGAAAATTAATGAAAATGAAAAACAAATATTTTGTATAAAAACACTGTTATATTTTAAATTTTTTTAATAAATTTTCTTTTTTTTTTAAATTTGAGAACTTAAGGCCACAAATTTCACCCGCACGGTCTAGTATCTTATAATTTATTGTGGTCTTTATACATTGTTACCTGTTGTCAAAGTGCTTTCTATTATTTGGATGTTTCAATTGTCGAAATTAATTTCGTTTTTTATGCTCTGCATTACAATATTTAGCAAGTTTTTTCATTTGCATTTTACATTAGCTCCACCGAAACATCACATTTGAATTCTTTCACTTTACCGGTTGTTATGTAAAACAGAGGAAAAGTATGGCAATTGGTCAGATAAATAACCTCTCGAATTTTTACATTTTTGGACATTCGGGGATATCAAAACTTAAATAAATGCAAAAACTTTCGGAAGTTTTTCTGTATGTATTAAAGTTAGTGTCTGCGGTACGATTTTGTTTCTCCTCTTTGAAGCTTAACGACACTACTCACTATCATTTCCCAAATTTCATATCTTTGTGGACAAGTGTAAAAAATATTTTGAAATCATATGAAGTGTGACTTATGCAAACTGTTAAAGTGATGTTCATTAGTGTAATATTAAAAAAGCACTTTAAAATATGAAAGTCTTTCTTTGCTATCTGTCTTAATGAATGATAGTTAAGTTTAATTTTTTGCCTTCAATATAGACGTCCATTGCACTTTTCACAATGTAAAAATTTCTTGTTCATCTTCTAAATACACAAACAAACAAAAAATGTAATTTAACATGGATTGTAATAAAAGCAGTTTAAACTGAACATTATGTTATTGTGACCATAGGGTCGGTGTATCTTTGACATTGCGTCAGGATGTGACACCACCGAGTCTCTAGGGACTCGGAAATCGCGACTTTACGTCACGCGAGCGGTAGCGGTTGAGCAGTTGGTTCGGAGTAGAGGTGAGGAGAGAGAAACGAGGAAGTGATTCACTCGGATTCCAGATTAATAGCCAATAACAAATTTATGTTAACAAGCAGAGTACACGATATACGATCATCAACATCTTGGATTGATATATATGTCCTATATCCCCAGATTATCGAATCTAACTGTCGCGAGAGAGAGAGAGTTTACAGGATATCCGCGTGTGGATAAATATGTGAGGGACGAACAGACCCACAATAAAGTGTTATTTTAAATTTTATTTATTGGAACTTTAATCAGTTAAAATCGAGCGTTAGGCTAAAAGCCATAAAAATTTCTTTCCCACGGAGTTTGTTCCTTGTTGAGTCGGATCCAGTTAGTCAGGGAGGTGTCACAAGGAACTTTCGATGGAGTGCCTATATTGGACGCCAGACCGTTAACGGCACCACCTGACCTCATGGAAAAAACCCAAGAGGAATAACAAGAGAAAAGGAAAAAGATGCCAGGGTCAGTCGTCATCCGAAGTCCCTCTACAAAAGTCGTCTTCACAAAGTCCGCTCAACAAAACTCATCCTTTCGAATAAAAATCGTGACCCGAATTAAAACCGTGACCCAGGATTAACACCGAGAGAAAAAGATCGTGCCTGTTTAAGGATAACATCTCCACACCTCCGTGCCTCCACCCCAGTGAACGGACAAGATCCAGAACCAGTAGATTGAACTTTCCATTGGCGTATCATCATCGGCGTGACCACAGATCCTTTGACCCAGAAGCAAGGTATTTATCAACCCGCGATTCGCGTGTAAACTCTTTCTCTCGAACGGAATAGTATAATTAAGTCGATAATATGCCCGATATCTCTGTATTTTCTTTACTTTTTATTAAAATTGTTATTTGTTAGAAAATATGGAGTCCGAGTGAGTCACTTCCTCGTCTCTCTCCTCACCTCTACTCCGAATCCAAGCGCTCACACGCTACCGCTCGCGTGACGTACCGTCGCGATTTCCGAGTCTCCCAGAGACTCGGTGGTGTCAGATTTAGGTCTCCTGACGTGGTGTCAAAGAGACACCGACCCTACGGTCACAAATACCTTATAATGAAGTTGGGAATTGATGACTTGATGACTCAAACACGGGATTCTTCGAGTGGCCGAAGGGTCTTTTTATTCGAATTGTTTGGGTAACAGGTCTTCGGAGAGAGGTACTTTACTGGTAGAGAATAAATCAAGAACTCGGGCATTATATGTATTTGTATGTTGATATCGACAGAGGCACAGTATTTTAGCACACTTTGGAGGTGACTTTTGTGGACGAACTTTTGGAGGAGGCGAACTTTGGAGGACAACTGACTAGATTTGTCATCGCTCTCCCTTGTTATTCGGGTTCTTTCTGGATTTTTTCTATGAGGTCAGGAGTCTGATGTTAAGAGCCTGGCGTTTAATACTGGAAATTTATCGAAAGTTCCGGGTGACACACTAGTAAGGGGCCGTTCATAAATTGCCTAAGGTATTTTGGGATGGGTGGAGATCAAGGATTTCTTACGATTTCTTACTCAGGGGTAGGGGGTAGTAGATCTCGCTGTACGTAATATTCTTATTTTTATTTTCTGATTTCGTTGAGTGATGGCGTTTTAAATTTGGCGGTTTCTATTAAGAACGCTCGTTGTCTCGTGTGACGTGATATAGTAATAACGCTAGCAAATTTAATTTCCACATTTTTTGTCATGGGAGAAAGTCCGTGGTAATTTTTTTCTGTTGTTTTTTATTAGAATAAGTGCACCACTCCTATGGATGTTTAACACCAAGAATACATAAACCAAAATACACGATACAAATAAACATAAAATTAGTATTCGGCTTTTAGTGAAAACTAAAATGTAAAACTAGAAATTATAAATTATAAATAATCTTTTCTTCCATATTTTTTTAACATAATTGTAAAAAGCATCAAACAGTGGCTTCTGAACAAGCTTATCGAGTGGACATGTCCACTTGAAACCAAGCGTAAAGATTTCTAATTTCAGAATAAGTTTTCTGTAGAGCAAAAGCAAGAAGCAGTTTCTGCCCGATTATACATTTCCAGGTAGCTTCTAAAATTACCATGCTCAGTAAGTAGTTGAGCGGTAGCAAATGTTAAATCGCTAAGTAGTGATGAGAACCTACATTCAACACTAGGAAAATAAAGTCGTGTTATTCTACAAGTTTTACTGCTCAACTACTTTTACTGATTCCACTTTCGCATAGCTTTGTCATGAATATAATTTTTAAGGCTGCTACGTGAGAGAGGGATGTGAGTGTAGTCCAAGTCAGTTTTCTTTGCAGCTGACTTAGCCTCAATGTTGGCGTTTTCATTTCCTAGTATGCCAGTATGGCCAGGAACAAATATAAAAATTATCTTATTAACAAGATTTTTAATATGGTGCTGGATATGTACGATTTTATTGCTATTGCAATTGGGATTTAATAGAGCTATCAGGACAGACAGAATCACTATAAATGTTGATAGACAGAGTTTTGTTTGATAGTGAAATGGCCCACTGAACAGCTTGGTAGTCAGCATCTTGTTCAGCTTGATAGATGACGGTATGTGGGAAGTATTTGTACCTTCTAGCATATTTTTGGCAAAATATGTAAGTTTGGAGGAAGATAGAGATACTTGAGCCGACAAGAAGGGAGCTTTTGGACCCGTCTGTGTAGATATTGATGCCTGCAAGATTATCCATGGAGGAAGCGGATGACACCAAATAACCTTGTTTACAGAATGATGATCAGAGATAGTAGGGTAATAGCAATGTGGTAGCCGTAGACAGAAGTAGAGACCGTTGTTGAGCCTTGACGTTTGTAGTTCTGATGTAGTAGTTTAAAACCTTTTCTACAATACGTAGTGGAGAAGGAAGGAGCTCTACTAGTATCTGAGAGGCATTAATAAAAACAGTTCTGCAGTACTTTGAAATTCTGGTGGCTAACTGGCTTTGAAGAGAGAGTAATTTACTTGCTACTAAATTTTTACTAGTTACATGACCACAGCCAGAGGCTGCATAAAATAGCATTGGTTGTATTGCCCCATTATATAGAGTTTTATAAGCTTTATTATTTAGTCCCCAAGTGCACCTAGCACATTTTAGCAGCATATAGTTTATTTTTTTGGCCTGAGCCAAGATGTAATCAATATGACAAAAAATGTGGTTTCTCTTTATTCTCTCTTATTTTATTTTTTAGGACTTTTCTGTTTACACGTTTTTCGTGTAAACAGTCGATCTGGCAAAGTTTTTGTGTCTTTTGTGAAAATTAAAATTAATATAAAAATAAATATTTTGACATTGATTAATGATAATAATAATAATAATAATAATAGTAATATTGTTAATAATTAAAAAATAAAGTTCTTAAAATAAATTGTTCATTCGAATTTATTAAATTCTTATATTTTTAAATTTGATCACCTAAAGTCTTTTATAAATAATAGTGCATATTAATTAACTAATTAATAATTATATATTTTGAACCTAAGACTTTTAGGGTTTATAAAAAAATTTTTTGGTTAAAATCTTTCTGTAAAATCATGCCAAAATATTACTTAAGATAGGGAAAGGGAGGGGGATCAAAGAAAATATTACGATTTTTTTATACAGGGGTGGGTGGGGTCTAGAATGGCCAAAATCGCCCATTACGTAATTTATGGACTGCTCCTAACTAGATGGATCATCCTCAACTAGGAACCAAGTCTGTGGGAAATAATTTTTATGGATTTTAGCCTAACTTTTGATAAAATGATAGAAGTTAGATGATTGAATTCCAAAAAAATTACAATTTAAAATAACACTTTATTGAGGGTCCATTCGTTTCTCACATCACTCCAGCCTTTCCAAAGTCAGGCTCGTTCTGAGTGAGCAAGATCGACTTTAATGAGCTGAAATTAAAATTGATTGGGTAGAGGACGTAGGGTTTGAAGGTTTGTTTTTTTCTTGAGATATCTGATGAAATCAGGCTTAAGAAAATTTGTAAGGACCCATATTGTGAACACATAAAATTTAAGAGTCTCTTTCTCTCTTTGAGTGAGTAATACTAACACGAATTATTTTCGACATTGACATGGTTATATTTATGATATGGTTATCATTCTAATTAATTATGTCCGCAATATAATATTATACGCAGTACAAATTAGTTTTCATAAAAACTTGTCTGATGTGGTAAATAAATAATAATGGTTTTTTTCATACAAGAATCATATTTTATAATGTACTTTCTCTCTCTGTCAGGTTATGCGATGAATATAAATCACAATGACGCAGAAAGTTTTGAGTAAATAAAGTTATTTATTATTGGTCTCACTTTAACTTCCTTAACTCTCTCGTCTTGTTAATTTTGTTTGAACGTTATTTCCTTTCTTTTGCAGCTAGCCATTAGTTAAGGAATCCAACTTCGTTGAGGAGTCGAAAGAATCAGGGACGTTCTTCCATCGATCCCTGGCTGCGTAATTCATAAGAGTGGGAAGAAGTCGGTTCTCTTACCTCTTCTCTGGTGGTAGATTCTCTTATTCTTTCCTCCCCTTCGGAATCGTCTTCTATTTCTGGGCACGTCTTTAGTTGTGGTTGGATTTCAGCGAGGATGAATTCGTCTTATGGGTATTTATGGAAGGTTGGTGGGATTGGATCTTAAGTTGAGTGGAAGTTGGCATAGGAGATCGGTCCGAACTCTCTGACCTTTCGAATTCTTGTCTAGCGGTGCAATGTTTCAATCTATTAGCATGAACTTAAAAATGTTTCTTCCTTTGAATATTTTCGATAAGAAAGGTGACAGGACTTAATTTGGATATGATACGAAATGGGGCGACCATCGGGATGCTAATTTCCTTTATAACCTCGTTAAGGAAGACTCGATCACCCACATGATATGTAGGAATTTTATGGATTCGGCAATATATTTTTTGGCATTCTCTGGCTGCTGCTTTGGCGTATTCTTGTGCCAATTGATGTACACTAGCCATTCGAAGGTGGAGCTCCGATGCAATATCTTCTACATCGTATTTAGCTTGGGTTGGTCAGGTGACAAGGTCAAAGAGATAAATTGAGTCTCCTCCGTACAACAGAAAGAATGGACTGTCATTCGTAGAAGCGTGGACAGTAGTATTATATGCAAATAAAGCATAGGGAATCCATTTATCCCAATCTGTTTGCTCTTTGGCTGTGTAGTGTGAGATAATATCAACAAGAGTTTTATTAAATAGTTCGACTATCGCATTTTAATCAGGGTGATAGGTGGTTGTAAGAAGTCTCTTAATATGAAGCAATTTGCATACTTCCTTGAACATTTTGGAAATTATATTAGGGGCTAGATCTGTAAGAAGTTGTACAGGAGTTGAATGGCGTAAAACGATGTTGGTAACGAAGGCTTTGGCAATAGTTTTGCTATGAATATTGGGTAAAAGTATCGCTTCTGCACTTCAGCAGAAATGGTTGACAAAGACTAAGATGTACAGTCGACCCCCCTATAATTACGGTCCCTATAATTACGATTCCTATAAAACTGCGAAAAAATTGCGAAACCCAAGCTAAATACGATGTAGAAGATATTGCATCGAAGCTCCACCTTCGAATGGCTAGTGTACATCAATTGGCACAAGAATACGCCAAAGCAGCAGCCAGAGAATGCCAAAAAATATATTGCCGAATCCATAAAATTCCTACATATCATGTGGGTGATCGAGTCTTCCTTAACATGGTTATAAAGGAAATTAGCATCCCGATGGTCCGCCAGATTTCGTGACGGTATCCGTAAAAAAAAGGTAAAAAACCTCCTATAATTACGTAAAACGTCATCGTGCAGCCGAACTACTTTCCCGCCGTCTGTAGCGCCACGCTACGGAGAGATTTCTATCGTCTGGACAGTATTATATTAATTATATATAAATTAGGTATTGTATATATAAATATATATTAACTTAATTTATTGTAACTTTATTATAATTATATATATTTTTTCCGCCGCATGGCGTTACGCTACGGAGATTTTACGCTAACTATCGTCTGTACGGTATGTAAATTAGCTACTGTAAGTCTAATACGTTTATAATTTAAGTGTAATTTTATACATTTCTTGTGAAAGAAACATTTCTTATTCAACAGCGATAAAAAGTATTTATATTAATCATGTCTCCGAAGTTCAACGAAGTTTTCGCAGAAAAATAAGTTATCAGAAAACTTTCGTCATTGCCAATGCTTGTTTTCGTCGCGGAGCGTCCCTCCACGACGAAAACAAGCATTAGCAATGGCGGTGCACACTCGGTAAGTAATTCTACAATTTTTTGTTTATAGCGTAGTTTATACGGATTATTCCCAAAAAAAAATATACGTATTTTGGAAATGTTGAGTCGGATTAGTCTATAATCGATTAATTTTATGGAAGAAAATCTTTCAAACAGCCGTAGTCCGTAAACTTGTCAGCCCCCCTATAAGACAGTAGATACGTTCCATTCTTTAGGAATCCGATTTCTTACGAGCCCTTCCAATCACAGCCCGACACGTGTCAAGTTTACGGACTACGGCTGTTTGAAAGATTTTTTTCCATAAAATTAATCGATTCTAGACTAATCCGACTCAACATTTCCAAAATACGTATATTTTGTTTTTTTGTGGAAATAATCCGTATGAACTACACTATAAACAAAAAATTGTAGGATTACTTACCAAGTGTGCACCATTCGACATCGCTGTTGCACAAGCTTGTTTTCGTCACGGAACAGCTCAGCAAACTGCTGCCTCGATTTCTGATGTTATTTTTCTGTGAAAACTTCGCTGAACTTTAACGACATCATTAATATAAATAATTTTAATCGCCGTTGAATAAGAAATGTTTCTTTCACAAAAATGTATAAAATTACAGTGCTGTATTAGACTTACGGTACCTAATTTACATACTGTACAGACGATAGTTCGCCTAAACTCTCCGTAGCGTAGCGCCAGGCAGCAGAAAATATATATATATAATTATAATAAAGTTACAATAAATTAAGTTAATATATAATTATATATACTTAATATATAATTATATATACAATACCTAATTTATATATAATTAATATATAATTATATGTACAGTACCTAATTTATATATAATTTATATATAATACTGTACAGACGATAGTAATCTTTCTGTAGCGTGGCGCTTGACGGCGCGGAAAGTAGTTCGGCTGCCCGATGACGTTTTACGTAATTATAGGAGTTTTTACCGTTTTTTACGGATACCGTCGCAATTTTTGCTGTCTTATAGGAATTAAACATGAGACTACTCAGGTTTTAACGAACCATGGAAACTTCTCTGCTTACCTCTGTAGGTTTAAGAAGACATTAAACGGGAAGTGTCATTGTGATGGTGTTAGCGAGGGTGATGCCAATCACTTCATCTTTGATTGCAGTACTCACGAACAATATAGGATACCCTTCTATAGTGAATGTATACTACAAGGAATTGGCTGGAAACCCAAAGCCCAGGACATCTTCAACAAAAAAGAAGTCTGGGAGAAACTGGAAGATTTTATTATAAAAACTAAACCGACCATCACAGAACTATAGAACTTCAAAACAATGATTCAAACCAACAAACTATTATACACGAAGATTCAGAAGACTCGGACACACAAGGGAACGACAACGAATACGGCAGCGACAGTGACGACAGTGACAATTATTAGTGACAACAACCAGTGACAATTATTATAATAACTGTATCTATTTATCATCATTTGTGCTGCTAGCAACTGATATAAGTCTACATACTTAGTCCCAAGTCGGGATTGTATACGCGGTTTGCATTGCAAGTAGCAATGACTTCGTTCACGTGTTCTCATTGTACTGTACATACATGTTATTCTGTACTTTTCTGTATTTTGTCAATTAGTAAATAAATTGAGCCGATGCGGATGCTCGTGGGTCCCATGGGGACTCCCTGACTGCTCTCTTATTCACACTTTCCTATCTCCCTTTGTTTCTCCTTTCACCTTATTCTTACTTTTCTCATTCCTTCTTTCCTACTTCATAAAAGGGTTAAGTTTGTTGTAAGACACAAACAGCCCTCTAATCCTGTTACTTAATCCTGTCTTATAGGAATCGTAATTATACAAACCCGTTTTATAGGGGTCTACTGTATCAGGTCAAGGACTTCAGTCTCTAGGATTTGTCGGATAGGAATGCGACTTAAAGCATCGGCATTCTTATGACACTCTCCAGCTTTATGCCTTACTTCGAACTCAAATTCTTGCAAAAATATAATCTAATGGGCTATTCGAGAGTTTGTGCTAGAGTCTTCGTTGCTCATGAGCCATTTCAATGGTCAATGATCAGTAAGAATAATGAATTTCTTTTCGTGTAAATAGAGTATGAAATATTTGGTAGCCCAGACAACCGCCAGACATTCTTTCTTAGTAGTGCTGTAATTTTTTTTAGATTTCCGCAAGATGCAAATAGCATAAGCGATCGGCATTTCTGCTCTTTCATCCTCTTGTGATAATACGGCTCCTGTGGCCTCATTAGGAGCATCTGTAGCCAATATAAAAGGTTTGGTAAAGTCAGGAAATTTAAAAGTGGAGCTGAAGTAATGATTTTTTTAATCTCTCGAAACTTTGCTCTTGCTCTTCTCCCAATTGGAATTGAGCGTCACGCCTAAATACTTTTATTGTGAAACAACAGATATGTGAACACCTTTAAACCACTATAGATCGAACTTATAACTTTTATCACCATTTCGAAAAACAACAATTTTGGATTTTTGTAAGATTCAATTGTAGACTGTAATTAATTATACTGGTATTTATCGAAAAGGTCGATCGACACCCGTAACGATCTTACCTAATCAGCCGAAATTACATCATCCGCATACGCTAATATTACATTGATGTTCGTGGTGTCAATATTACATCGATTCCATCAACATCAATACCTTTCATCTCGGAAGTATTAATACAATTCAATAAATCATTTAGGAATAAACTAAAAAGAATGGGGCTCAAAATATACCCTTGTATACCACCATTGTCTGAAAATAAAGCCTGACAACAGCTATTCCTCTAATTAATACTGTACTAACATTTGAGCCACTAAATAAATCCACAAGCTGGGAAACAAATTTAAAACTTAATCCAAAATTTAATCATTTCCTCCAAAATAAATTCCTGTCAACCGCATCAAATACTGATGATAAATCTACAAAAAATGCCATTTTCTCCTTAATGTCTTCGAAATGATAGAATAAAGTCAGAAATAGAGTGAGCCAATATTTATATATTTATAAAAAAAATTTATTTTATTTTGTTTAAAATTATTGTTCACTTTAAAAATAAGAAAATTTATCGATTGGTGACATCTTCAACTTCCTCTGATTCACAGGAAAAGAGGAGAGTTCTTTTTTAATTTTTATGCAGTTTATATAAAACATAGTATACTTTATTTAAAACAACTTTTTCAGTTAATTTAAAATAAAAAAAACAAACACATTACATATGATTTGACTATACTTTGACCCTATTATAGCCACAGTAATTACAGTTCAATACTCCAAACCGTGACGTACCAAGAAGCGCGCAGTAACAAAAGTCGTGTTTAGTTTGGATTTCATACTTTGGTAGCGATTGCTATAGTTATTTGTAATAAGTGTTGTATAAAATTCACTGTTTAACTAATAAACGTTATAATTATCGTCGTTTTCTTAATTTAAGGTAAGACACTACATCACTAAAGGTATTATTGCTATTTATATTCTATGCTGTTGAATGTATTATCTTATACACAGGTGTTGTATAAATGTTTTGTGAGAGTGAAATACGCGTAAGTGCAGGGAAGTTTGAATTAAACAGACGGTAGCTGGTTCTACTGAACTGTATCGAATGAAACTCGGTACACACGCGATTTACACTATAAGAAAGAGATTTACGGGGAGAAAAATTAAGTTGAAACAGGGCCACATTCTTCCTTGGTTTCACCACCAAGGAACAATGTGGCCTTGTACAGTCGAGAACGTATGTTTCTGGTTGCGGTTTATTTGTAGAATCGTGTTTACCAGGGTATGCACCCCCAAACGGAGACGAAGACCATAGTGCGACTTGTCTTCGAAATACCTTCTCAAATGTTACGTGTGGTAGTAGAAAACTTGGTATTACCATTGTCGCAGAGAAGGATCATACGTTGATCACATACTGTAAATGTGTAAAATATAATCTTTTTGTTCTACAATATTTTATCCACTTGTCTATGTCATCCTAGCAGCGCCATATTTTTACCTGGTGTAGAAGAGTTTAACTTATTTTTTTCTCTTTTAAATCTTTTCTCGGTGGACGGTTTTAAATGTGTCCTGAGTTTCATTCGATTCGGTTTAGTAGTGTCGACACTACACATCTCACTACCATGAGTATAATTCTAACCACCCTGTGTTTCATTTTTATATGTAATATTGTGTTTAAGTGATTCTGTAAACAAGATAAATACTCTTTAACTTCAGATTCGTAATACAAACTTAGTAAGACAATAAAAATCGTTAATAATAATTATTTTTTCTAAATATCTTATTTAATAAGTTTAAATTTTTTGGTTTTTTTCTTAATTCGAGTTTATTGCATATTTATGGCAGTTTCGATTTAATATTTTATTTTACCGATTTCAATTTAACGCAATTATTTTCACTGTTTTATCTGTAGGTAATTAATAAAGCTGAATTACGCATTGGTTTATTTAATTTCATTCGGATTAAATGAGTAACGTTTGTTAACGTGTGATACATTTTAGTGTTCAATGGAATTTTGTGAAAGCGAAATGGTGTCAGTCAGTTTTTCCAGAAAACAACCAATGCTGCTGTTCACTTCCTGGCATCATTATTTACATATTTCTTGTAAAGCGGTAGAAATATTTGCGTTACTTACCAAAGTACAAACCACTATCAGAGAAAATAAGTAATTTTTAAATCGGAACATAAATTTAGCTTCTTATGTTTCCAGATAGGTGAAAAGTGGCTAATAACACTTGTACTTTCAACGGCTGGTGTAAATAACTAAAATGAAAGTTGATACAATATGATCAAAGATTTCATTTTGGCCTATCGAAACACATTCTTTTTCTAAATTTGTATTCGGTAGTCTAAAATTGGCAAATTGGTGACACTCTTTTATAACGCACAGTAACCATATAAAACACTTTATTTCACTAATTAAATAGATGCTGCCTTCAACTGGGCATTGTTACAGTTTGGTCAAAGTATGTGAAAGAAGTTACACGTGTCGTTTGATTTTTTAAAAATTTTCTTTGATTTTCTAATGTTACTTCTGCAGATGTTTGTTATCAGATGAATAGATATTCAAGGCAATTAGAGCCTCCAGCAAATGCTATAGGGAACCCCCGATCAAATCACAGTGAAAAATCCCACATATTTTTCATGTCTGGCAGGTGTCATCCCTTAGCATTTTTCAGCTTCATTGTAGGCCTGACCATATCCACAAAGGAATGATATAAAATATCCATCCTACAAAAATAGGTTAAAAAAAATAATAATTTACTAGGAAAATTACGTTTTATCTGCAAACAATGTCATAATACAGTCAACTCCCTATAACACTGTTGATAATTTCGTTTTATATGAATTCCATGTTGTACAAGTTACTTAGATTTCACAAATACATTTGCCGGGCTGTAAACTGCTCACGTATTTGTAAAATTTAAGTGACTCGTATAACATGGAATTCATATAAAACGAAATTATCAACAGTGTTATATGGGGGGTCGACTGTATAAATGTAACAGTTAGCAATTTTATTCTTACTAGTTGTTATTAAGATTGCATTTGATACTGTATCTTAGTTAACCAAAATGTAAATATTTGCGTTCTGGTAAATACATTTTATATTTATTTTACAGCTACTTTCGGACAGACGACCCTCGGTCAAAATATTTGAAGTTGGCTTCCACCCGTACGACTTGAAGCAAAAGATACGAAATTAAAATGTTAAGCACGATTTGCGAATCGTACATCATCGATCAGTTAAGTAAGAAAAATGTCTGCGCCATTCACGATTTCGCCTGCAAAATGAATTCCACTCGGATACAACATCGTTGCTGGGAAATTTTCGATACGTATTGGCAGGAGATATTCGAAGGAGAAGATTTCAAATCATGCGACACTGCGACAATAGACAGGTTAGTGTCTCGACCGTTATACACAAGTATGGACGAAGTGGATATATTTTTGGCCGTCTACGAGTGGATAGAAGAGAAGACCAAACGAGAGATGAGACCGTCATTTGTTCAAATGAACGAAACCTCGAAGAAACGAAAGTATCGAGAAGAAATGCAACCGTTTCTTGAGAAAATCAGATTCTTAGCCATGAACAAACAAGAATTAACAAATAAGATATTCAAATTTAATATTTTTACTGACGAAGAAGAAAAATCTATTCTACTCTGTCAGGAAACTAGAAATTATTCCTATTATCCGAGCTATTTCAGTAAAATATCAAACGACAGATGCAGAAGTAAATATTCAAATTACGCTCCTCTATTTGAGTTTCAACACATAAAAGAATTTCCTCGCGTAACCAAAGAGAGCAAAAAGCCATTTACGTATTTCAGCACCGAGATATTTGTAAAGGAAGATTGTTTCATCACTAATCTCGACCTTCCCATTACTCTTAAAAGAGAATACATACCGATACGAATTTATGGCTACGTAAATTCCGTAGAAAGTGGTTTTCTTCATTTTCAATCTTTCTGCAACTCCCAAGGAAAAGTACAGTTGGATAATCCCGTATTCATTGGGAAAAATTCCACTTGTCGTTTGTCCGCAGTTTTAGCTCAAGAACATTGGCTCGACAATAACATAAAATTTCATTTACGATCCACAGAAACTTTCTCTACCCCGAAACCATCCAAAGGAGTGTTATTTGAAGAGAAATTGATTACAGATGGAATAATTGAAAAAGAAAGTGATAATTTTTACTTCCTCGTCTACTTGTATTTCTAAAAAGCATTCATACACTATCCTACTTATATAAATTGGAAAAAAAACGTAATCTGAAAATTAATCTAAAAACTTGATATTACTTTGTAATATAACGTTTTGTTTTGTTTAATTGTTTATTTTAAGATTTTCAAAATTTTCTTTCCAATTTACAAAAAAACATAATTAATTAGAAGTAATTAACTAAGCTTATTATACTCCTAGCTCATCTATTTCGTTCCAAAATACATTTTTAATGACTTTTTACTTTTTATTTGTGTAAAAACAAAAAACAGAGTCTATGATGACAAAATAGACTAAAAGTAGGCTTATTTTCTTATTTAATATAGAACTTTCATTAAATCTTAATTGTATTAAAGTACAATTCACAAAATAATTAATACAGTACAGCGTCGTTTACCTGAAAGTCGGTTATCCGAAACGTCGGTTATCCGAAAGAATTTCAGTTGGCAAATTTAAATTTTCGCTAGTGCTGTGGCGCTGCAATCTTTGGGTATGTCTTGGGCTACTCAAATATTTTACGTTTTTGATACTAAATTAACATCTCAAGTATAATTTTTTATTGTTTTTATATTTTTCAATACATTTATTTTGTTTGTACAAAATAAAGAAATACAGTAGATCCCCCTATAAGACAGTAGATACGTTCCGTTCTTTATGAATCAATTTTGTAGGAATCATAGTTTACGGACTACGGCTGTTTGAAAGGTTTTCTTTCATAAAATTAATCGATTCTAGACTAATTCGACTCAACATTTCCAAAATACGTATATTTTTTTGAAAATAATCCGTATAAACTACGTTATAAACAAAAAATTGTAGGATTGCTTACCGAGTGTGTACCGTTCGACTACGCCCGTTGCTAAAGCTTGGTTTCGTCGCGGAACAGCGCATCAAACCGCGGCCGCGATTTCTGATATTATTTTTCTGCGAAAACTTCGTTGACCTTTGGAGACATCCTTAATATAAATAATTTTTATGGCCGTTAAATAAGAAATGTTTCTTTCACAAGAAATGTATAAAATTACAGTACTGGACAGACGATAGGTCGCCTAACTCGCCGTAGCGTGACGCTAGACGGCGAAAAATATATATTTAATTATAATAAAGTTACAATAAATTAAGTTAATATATAATTATATATACAGTACCTAATTTATATATAATTATATGAACAGACGATACTAAACTCAATTTATCCGACTAAACGTCCGTAGCGTGGCGCTACGGACGGCGGGTAAGTAGTTCGGCTGCCCGATGACGTTTTACGTATTATAGGAGTTATTTTTACCGTTGTTTACGGATAATGCCACAATTTTTATAGGAATCATAACTATAGGAAACGGTTTTATAGGGGGATCTACTGTAATTTTTAACGATACAATAGCCACAATTATTATTTTTAAAAGTTTACGTTAGGCTTAACATTGACGAAAATTCAACGCAAAGCGACACGCAACGGAGAAAATTTTCAGGATGGGATAGGTTAATATATTTTTTCGTACATAATCGGTTATCCGAAAAATAAGTTATCCGAACAACCCCAGTCCCCAATTGATTCGGATAAACGACACTCTACTGTATTTGAATTGAGATACCATTCTGTGTAAAATGAGACTTAAGAGAACAACATAATTTACAATGAACATTCCGTTCTGATTCAGACCAATGCCTCTGTATGCTTTGTTCACAATAAGATTTTATAATTATCGGCAAGTACTTTTTTCACGTTTGGTTCCTGTAACGTCCAGAGAACACTAAGACCAGAATTATCCAATATTTTCTTTATTAAGAATATCCAATTATACTTATCAAGTATCAAGTAATCTGAAAAAATATTAAATTTTTCTTCACTACCTCCCCGTGACTGGAGTGGGTAATTTGCGCGCCTGCTGCCTTCCTTGGATGTAGTAGCCATTTCTCAGGCTTCTTCTCCGGAATCGAACCCTGATTCCTTGTTACCCGTAACCTGCCATCGAAAGTTGATAAGGCAGACACTTCGGTGCTAGACGGAGCGATCAGCTGAAAGTTATCCAGATTCACCACACTTGCCCTCCAATAGATACTCGTTAAAGGGTTTAGATTGAACCCATTAGATTGTTAAATTTTTCTGAAGTAAATTTGGGGTATCTGCTATAATAACTGTCGTCAGCATACATCAATATATGGAGCTCTTTATCATCAGAAATAGACAAACCCGAAAGACCAGGCAGTTTGATACGATCCACAAGTTTATTAACGTGTAAAGAAAATATTACTTTGCAGTACGCCAATCTTTATATCTAACGACTCTGTATATCCACTCGTACTTTTTACCCTTGCAGTAGCCTTTCCATAAATATCCATTATGAAATTCAAAACACGTTTACTAATCATCATTTCTCCAAGCACAGTCCACAGCTTAGAATGATTTATGCTGTCAAATGTGGCTTTAAAATCGACAAACACTGCGTATGATGTTCTCCTTTCTTCCTAAACTGTTCCAGTATTAACGCATTTAAAGTAAATATTGATATTTGGTCTAAACAAGAGAATCTTCCTCTAAAACCTGTTTCTTCTTCATGTAAAATTTTCATTTCATTAAACCAAACAAGTTAAATGAGAATTAAAAAATAGCCTTAAATAATTTGACAATTACTGGAACAATTGAAATTAGACGATAATTTTCGGGGTCAGAAAAAATTCCTCTTTTATGGATAGGTAATATCAGAATTTCCAAAATCTTTTAGAATTTCTAGTTAATAAGTCAAAAATTGTTGTTATTTCTTTGACGTTTCTGTTAAGATATCCATCAAAGTGTTTAATCGTAAGATTTTGATCTATTAAAGATTCTGATAAACTGGCAAACAACTCAGCAACATTAGGATTCCGCCTTGATATTTAAAGTGCTAAAACATAAATATTACACAATTTTGTAAGCTTTCTTTCTCCCTTTAGAAACCTCTATGCATTGATCTTTTCATTCGGGTCTAGTGCCGCTTAGTGAGTGATGGATCTGCTCTTTCTCTGCCTACTTCTACTTCTACTTGTCTTTATATCTCTCCTCTAGTAGAAGCTAGTTTTGTACATGAATTTCAACTTCACACTACAAAACCTTAAATATTTGTATAGTTCTGAATAGTCGCGAAACAATATCATAATTACTGATGTAAACAATTTTGTTAATTGCTTGAAATATTTGAGAATTTTTGGAATTACATTAAAAATACTGAATGTCATTTTGCTTTTCTATATAAATATCAGCCGAGAAATTAACTATATTATACATTTACATATAGGCTACTTTTAAAATATTACATATTCATAATTCAGTTACAAATAAACCGTTATGAACGTTTTCATTTATTCAGTCGAATTGTTACAAAGATATATTCATTTTCCCAATTTTTTTCCTAGTTTTTCACAAGTCTGTTTAATTTCTTTATCGGAATATATATCTTTTCCTTTTGGAACTTGATAACAATAACAGGCTTCCTCACAGCAGACCCCATCTTTACCTCCCTGTTCTTGGCATTTCGATTTACAGTATTTTTCTTCTTCTTTAGGAGAACATTTCATCACGTCTCCCTTGACGATGACAAATCCATTTCTGTCAGAAGTCTTGGCTGCATAAACTAAAACAAATCATAAGATTAATTACGATACAATTTACAGTCGACCCCTATAACACTGTTGATTATTCCGTTTTATATGAATTCCATGTTGTACGAGTCACTTAGATTTTACAAGTACGTGAACCGTTTACAGCCCAGCACACGTATTTGTAAAATCTAAGTGACTCGTATAACATGGAATTTATATAAAACGGAATAATCAACAGTGTTATAGGGGTCGACTGTATACCATTATTAAATATTATTCAATCCTTAAGTTCAGTGAAAATTTTACAGAAGAAGGAAAGTACAATAACAGTTATACGTAACATCCGAGCATTTTACAATACAAAATACTGCGGGCGCCGCTTATTGGAATCATATCGGCTAAATACTAATTTGTTAATAATAAGCGCCTGTTAATATTATATTGCAGCCAATATATAGGAGCCTGTGCTTACAGCATGTGTTGTTCGGCATTGACTGTTCAATCTTCATAAAATTTTCGATCAATCTACACAATATTTACTATTTACAATTTTCTAATACTTATACCATTATCGAATTAAAAAGCTAAATTGCTTTCAATACTAAATTGCTTTCAATACTAAATTGCTTTCAATACTAAATCATAAATAAAAGAAACCACAAATATAGAAATTATGTTTATGTCTTACCTATTCCCACGAAACAAACAAGCAGAATTATGATTTTCATTGTTCTAATCGATTNATATATATATTATCCTGTTTCCTACATTTCTGTATACGCAAGAACACGTTAACACAGTTGTATTTCTGTAATACTGACATTTCCGGGCTCGGCCCGGCGCCTTTCTAGGCAACAAAGAACCTGTCTCCTCAAGCAACTTGATAATTCGTGCCACAGTTCTGGTGGATATACTAAACATTCCAGCTATTTCTTCCTGCTTTGCGCCTTCAGCATGATGTTTTATGACTAATGCTCTGATATCTTTGGAGATTGCCTTTGGCATATTGCTGGCATTAGTTAAGCACTTCGGCAAACGGCTTTATATACTGATGCTTCCCTCGACACATTGTGCAAATGATCACCTGACTTCAGCTGATGAAGGGGATCATTTGCATCATAAACGCATACAACTACTATTACAATTACGTCACGGGGTGGTAAAGCGTGACGTAATATGAAATACTCAAATTGAATTCAAGTTAAATTTTAGTTTTTAAACAACAAACGATTGTTCGAACATTCGTATTTTTCGAACACGTGTTTTACCAAGCTATTCCATTTATATTGTAACAAACAGATAAATTATAAACGAAAGCAATAATCCTAACAAATCCCATTGTCCTTAATACATAAATCAGAATTGTTTTTACAGAACAAACTCATAAATATTCTGTAGAAAATATTTAATTATATTTTCCAATTTAAACTTATTTCGAAAGTAGAAAAGATACAGCTCAACCATTTTAACATTGTTTTTAACATTTTTTAGTGAAATTATGCAAAGTGCAAAATTACTTTTGTATATTTCCTGTAACGACGTAACTTCTCGGTGTTTATCATCAAAGAGAATTATGCAACAAATATTTTGTATATACGAGAAGTTGGCCTTTAATATCCTGTGCCAATTTGGTCTACTGTAGCAATGTACCAGTCGACCCCCTAAAACACTGTTGATTATTCCGTATTATATGAATTCCATGTTGTACGAGTCACTTAGATTTTACAAATACGTGAGCCGTTCACAGCCCGGTACATGTATTTGTAAAATCTAAGTGACTCGTACAACATGGAATTCATATAATACGGAATAATCAACAGTGTTTTAGGGGGTCGACTGGTACATTGCTACAGTAGACCAAATTGGCACAGGATATTAAAGGCCAACTTCTCGTATATACAAAATATTTGTTGCATAATTCTCTTTGATGATAAACACCGAGAAGTTACGTCGTTACAGGAAATATACAAAAGTAATTTTGCACTTTGCATAATTTCACTAAAAAATGTTAAAAACAATGTTAAAATGGTTGAGCTGTATCTTTTCTACTTTCGAAATAAGTTTAAATTGGAAAATATAATTAAATATTTTCTACAGAATATTTATGAGTTTGTTCTGTAAAAACAATTCTGATTTATGTATTAAGGACAATGGGATTTGTTAGGATTATTGCTTTCGTTTATAATAATTTATCTGTTTGTTACAATATAAATGGAATAGCTTGGTAAAACACGTGTTCGAAAAATACGAATGTTCGAACAATCGTTTGTTGTTTAAAAACTAAAATTTAACTTGAATTCAATTTGAGTATTTCATATTACGTCACGCTTTACCACCCCGTGACGTAATTGTAATAGTAGTTGTATGCGTTTATGATGCAAATGATCCCCTTCATCAGCTGAAGTCAGGTGATCATTTGCACAATGTGTCGAGGGAAGCATCAGTATATAAAGCCGTTTGCCGAAGTGCTTAACTAATGCCAGCAATATGCCAAAGGCAATCTCCAAAGATATCAGAGCATTAGTCATAAAACATCATGCTGAAGGCGCAAAGCAGGAAGAAATAGCTGGAATGTTTAGTATATCCACCAGAACTGTGGCACGAATTATCAAGTTGCTTGAGGAGACAGGTTCTTTGTTGCCTAGAAAGGCGCCGGGCCGAGCCCGGAAATGTCAGTATTACAGAAATACAACTGTGTTAACGTGTTCTTGCGTATACAGAAATGTAGGAAACAGGATAATATATATATNAAGTTGCTTGAGGAGACAGGTTCTTTGTTGCCTAGAAAGGCGCCGGGCCGAGCCCGGAAATGTCAGTATTACAGAAATACAACTGTGTTAACGTGTTCTTGCGTATACAGAAATGTAGGAAACAGGATAATATATATATATATATATTTGTTTTATTAATAGGTTAAAACAACATAACCTTCATGGGCGGAGAGCGGCAAAGAAGCAGTTGTTGACACACAGAAATATACTCGATAGGCTGGGCTTTGCCCAGACCTATTCTCACTGGAGTGTGGATGACTGGGCGAATGTCGTTTTTTCCGACGAAACAACGTTTTGTTCAGAGAATAGCGGGACCATTTGGGTGTGCGCCGACCACCATCAACACGTTTTCACTCGAAACACGTGTGGGGCACCCAACGAAGCGGTCGCTTCTCCATAGGTGAGTTTTTACATTTCGTGTTTTCGTCCATGTGTTATAGATCACAACTTGATTTGACGTTTTCTGTTTGCAGCTATGTGGGGATGAATGAGTTTTGCGGGACCCGAGGAGTTGGTCAGAATTGACGGCCACTTGGACGCGACCCAATATATCGAGATATTAGAAGATGTGCTAGTCCCATCGACGAAAGCTGTGTTCGGGGACACGCCAAGGTGGTTCGTCCATGACCGCTCCCAGGTCCACACAGCCCGAAGAACGCAGCAATGGCCGCATGAACAGAATTTCCTGGTAGACATGGGATGGCCGGGGAGGGGGGCAGACCTCAACCCGATAGAGCACGTATGGGCTAAACTTACCAACGGCTCCATTCAGGCAGCAACTCTCGACGAACACTGGGCAATCGTCAGAGGTCGTTGGGAGAAACTGCGCGAGGACATACTTGGGAGAAGTATGCCCTCGCGACTGAGTGAGGTCGTCGATAAAGGTGGCGCATGAACGAGGTTCTAACCCTCTCCCCTCCATCTGCAATGTTTTTTTGTTTGTAAATGTGTGGTAAGAGAACCACAATATTTGTAAATATGTAATAAATGTATATAGTCATTTCTAATCTGTGTGTTTCTTCTAAGAAGTCATAAAAACGTTGCACAATTAACTCTTACTTGGGATTAATGTGCATTGCTGGCAGATTGGTCGTGTAGATATATTTGTTATCTCTGATTCGCGATTCGGATATAGTTCGGTAAAGATTCACGGCCAATACGGTTTATGCAGGGTGTGACCTTACAGAAATGTCCAATCAAGCAAGTAAAACAAGATGTGCCTAACACCTTTTAACAAATCACGTTCAAGGAAATTTTCCAATGTTTTATTGGATAATAAAAAACCAATACACTACGTGTTTTGTCTCCCAACTTGAATAACATAAGTAAGCAATAAAGTGGTGATCTTGCTAAAAGGGGAGGGGAAAGCAAATTCAGAAGGAAAAAGTGTTGAGGAGAGAAACATAGGTTTAGAAAAACTGAGGCGTGTCACCTTTGCAGTTAAACTTGTTTACTTACAAAAACAAATTGGAATTTTAATAAAATTGTATCAATAGCAACCGATAAAGAACCAAGTATAAAAGATGAAAAGAAAGATTATGTTTGTATGTTTAAAAAACAAATGTTGTATGACGATTTTTCTTTTCACCGCAATAATTCATCAAGAGGCACTTTGTTCGCAAACTTTTCCGATGGAAATAACATTAGTTATGGACTCGGTTGTAGAAATTGTGAACAAAATAATGGCAAAACTGCTATATCATCGGCAATTTTGTGAACTTCTTAACGAAGTCAATAGCCAATATTTTGATCGTTTTTACACAATAAAGTAAGGTCGCTTTCCAGAAGAGCCATTTGCTGCATGCATTGAAAAAATAAAATTGCTTTTAAACCATGATAATGACAATGGTTACAGAAATTTTATTCTATGGTGGACACTACCTTACATTTAAACACGCTACACAAGAAACTGCAAGGGAAGAAAAATACAGCTATTTTGTATTTAGAAGAAGTACTGGCTTTTGAACGAAAATTGTTTGTTTACCACACACTTAGAGAAAAGGACACATTGCTACATTTTCGTACGTTGAAGATACATTAACAGAATGATATTTAATCAATTCTACTGATTTGAATATTTCACTTTTTAGTAATATTGATCAACAATATCAATTTTTTTTTGTTCCTCTACTCAACGATGAGAATGTTCGCGGAATTTACTATTTTGCGTGTTTTCAGAGAAACGAATTAATTCAATATTATGTTTACAATGTTATAGATGATTCACGACAATTTTATATATAGAGGAAACAGATTGTGCATATGATAGCATTCAGGGGCGCCTGTACATTGGAGCACTTAGGGCATGTGTCTCCCTTTTCGTCTGGTTTACCCTTCTCCTAATTCCAACGGATCCCCAAACTCTATTATCAGCAAACAACAGTAGATTCATGACTTCAAGCAAATTCTGCAAATATAAAAGAAAATAATGAACGATATTTGTCTATTCTTGCCGTATGTTTACCAAAACTTGGCATTGAAAACAAGCAATGTTCCTTATTTACAAGGCAAAGTAAGCCCCGATTACAATCAGAACCAAATTGTGGTAGCACTGATCCGACACGTAATCATAGTTTGCCTTATGTTGAAGCATGTGTTTCCTCTCCTTTTTATAGTCTTCGAGCGCCACTGATACTGTACAGTACTCTTGTACAATTTCTCGTCCAACGGGTACACGGTTTTTGGATAAATATTTACAAATATTTTTATCGTAACACTCGAGATAACTTATTCTGAAACAATAAATATTCGAATAATTCAATTGAATGCAAATTAAAAATGACAAAAAGTGTTTTAAATTAATGAATTTGTTGTATTTTTATAAACGAGAAAAAATATTTAATTTTTGATATTATTATTTTGAAGTATTTTTCAATTATTAAACGAGTTCATTTGCATATAAACCGAAATATTATTCACGAAGTCGTTCCCATCTAGTGAACGTAGTGAGTGACGTTATTTCCATTTTAAGTGTTCAAGGAAACCCATTTAATACATTTAAGAACTTTTATTATTCCCTTAAATATAAGATATTAATTTATTCCGAGTTAGTGGGAAGGAAAATGTCGAACGTAGAAGAGGAAGGAAGATTCGATCTAGACGAAGTAATTCTAGCGAACGAGGATGGAAAATCTGTGGTCGTATCACGAACATCCTTGATAGAAAAAGGAGGATTACTCAAACACTTCATAATCGTTTGTCCGAATGAAGGAAAGTTTATTCTCAGACTACCTGTAACATTGGAAATGCTCCATCAATTTGCCAGGTTTGTACGAATCTATTACATAATTGGTCTCCATTATATAAGTACCTATTAAAAGAATAAGGTAATTATATTTAACAGATAATTCTCAAATAATTTGCAATCGCATAGAGTTCTATTTGGTTTCTTTTTTTTATTTAGGTTATTAATGTTAACCAGTTTATGATTTATAACCTAAAATACTTCATTTTAATTTTTGTGTTACGTAATTGAGATGTAAAAAAAATTTGTAAAAAATCTTAATACTCACGAAGAAAGATTACTTGTATTAGGAATAATAATGATAATTTAAAATTTTCTTGCCATACGCAATATCCTTAGCTTAATTAAGGTCGTGGCATAATTAATCATATGTTTGAAAGATTTATAAAAAAAAATAAAGACTTCTGTGGGTCATGGTTTACCAATGGTCCTTCAATGGAACCTTGGGGTTTTCTTCGCTTTTTTTCACACTTAAAATAGGACTAATCTTCCAAATAATCCTCTCCTGATAGGAACTTCTTTTTTCGTGCATCATTCTGAAGTTATGCTACAAAAATATCTGAAAAAACAATTGTTATATTCTCATTCTTTTGCATTATTATAGTACTTTTACAACAAAGAAAAGAAGCAATTAATAGAATGAATAAGAACTCTCTGATTAATATTTTTTCGTGTCTTTAATTGGTCGTAATATGACATTAAGAAAATAAATACAAACTATAAGTTAACTATACTATATATCGATCAGTGTTAACATATTCCACAACAGACTATGTGTCCTTTATGCTCATTGAAATATTTCTAAACTGATTAATTATAAAGCTTTAATACTTGGAATAAATGTGGCTTTTTTTATAATGTTTGAATAATTTTAAGTTGATTGTCTATGCAAAAACACTAACAGAAGCTTTACATTCATTCACGAAATTAAAATACTCTTATCAGTGATATAGATAGTCAACAACAGTACCCCCCTTTAACACAGTAGATACGTTCCGTGTTATATGAATTCCGTGTTGTTGTTAAATACATTAGCTTATTACAGCCCGGCACGTGTACAGTTTACGGACTACGGCTGTTTGAAGTGTTTTCTTCCATAAAATTAATCGATTCTAGACTAATTTGACTCAACATTTCTAAAGCACGTATAATTTTTTTGGGAATAATCCATATAAACTACGCTATAAACAAAAAATTGTAGGATTACTTACCGAGTGTGCACCGTTCGACGACGCCATTGCTTAAGCTTTCTTAAGGGCGCGTTTTCTGATAAGCGAATTTTTCGCAGAAAAAAACTTAGCTTTGATAATGGACATGTATGTCCCTATATTTCACTTTTTCGCCAAAACTACACATCGCACGTGAATGGTGTTTGTATGTAGTGGTAGCCCCAAGTCTCCATTCGTGCATAGGGGTGGTTGCGTCTCGATAGCTATAAGGGTGCGGGAGATATGAGGCTAAAAGTAGTTGAAAGTGGCTTTCTATTTCGAATGTTTTGTTCGAATTAAATTCGAACATAAAATTCGAATATTGGTTCGATTATAGAACGATTGCAAACGTTCCAGAAACGTTGAAAATAGTTCGTTTGACTTAACGTGAACAGGAGACGTTCAGAAATCGAATCGGGACCAGGTCTCTAATTAGACTGGAAACAGGGGACCTAATTCTTGAATTCTGTGAAAATGGGTAAGATTGGCTATAGTGTAATTATCTTAATCTTCACTATCGTTACTTTTTAAAAACCCAGCGAAGCGGGTCCTTGCAGCTAGTCATTAATAAAAATAATTTTTATGGCCGTTGAATAATAAATGTTTATTAGTAGGTCCAGTATTCGTTTAAACTCAACGGTTTGTGCAATATCCGCTATTGGTCTAGATTTGACCAATCCTGTCGCTACACGAGTCGGCGATGACGTTTTACCGTATTATACGAGTCTCTTTTAGCGTGTTTATACGAATACGATGGCAATTTTTTCGCCGCTATATACGAATTCGTATTATAACCAGTGTTATAGGGGGTAGATATTTTATATTATGCATATAAAATACTTGATCGTACTCTGACCTGATCTAACAATATTAATTAATATATCGATAAGACATTTATATAGATTTACTGATGTTAATTTTAAATTAAAGATATCTGTATAATTTCTTTTTATAGAATCTAAACTAAACTGTAGTACAGATATTACTATTATTAGCCTATATTATTTACATGACCTTTTTAATCATTGTAAAATATATTTTCTTTTCAGATTTTTGAATGATGAATTACTTTCATTTCCTTACGCGGACGATGGATTCCAAATGTACTTAATCTGCAAACAATATTTTATTAACGAACTTCAAGAAATATATTTTAATACTTGCATCACGTGGATGTACTTCCACCGCGCTTGTCATATCCACGATTTGTCCTGTAGACACAACGAAAAACAATTGCAATATCATTGTTGGAAGCATTTCAGTCTGTCTGAAAAAAGTTTATTTAGTAGAGATGATTTTCAATTGTGTGAAGAAACTACTGTCCACAAGTTAATGACTTGCCCAGTGTACGTCAGTCTAGACGAGCTCGATTTGTTCCATGGACTTAGCATGTGGATCGAAAAAACATTTGTGAAATTGAGGGCAAAAAATGGCAGCATATCGAAAAGAGACGTCATAAAACCTTTCCTGTCTTTCATCAGATATTTTGTTATAGAATCCGAACACTTAACACGTATTGTGAACGACTGCCACGAAGAACAAACTTTAACAGAAGAAGAAGTTCAATCCATAAGAAGATATATCACTCAGAAAAATGTTGCCATTCTTCCAGAAATAGTATCTGCTAATGTTATTCCTCGAAGGCTTTCAGATTATTTTTCATTTATTGCCAAAAACCCCGTGACAGAAGAAATATTAGAAAACGAAGAAACAATGGAAGCAGATTTTCGGTTTATGGCTGATATTTGGGTACACGAAAAGTGCTTCTTGGATGAAATTAAACTGCCACTAACTTATAATAAAACTCAACGGATAAAGGTTTTCGTCGGTGTTAAATCGACTTACACACAAGATTTTGTATACGAACAAAGCACGTGTTATAACAATGGAATTGTTGTTTTAAAGAAAGCGAAATTGCTATCGAAGCGTAGCTTTTATATCTTTTCAGTTAGGATTCCTAAAGAGGTAATAGATTCCACTTCGATAACGGTTTTACAAAAAGTACAAGGATACGTTCCGATCTACGATTTCCTAGATACAATTACAAGACGTAAAGACAAAAAAACTAAATTTTCTTGTACTCTTTGCCTCTGTTTTTAGAAATTCTTTTGATGTTTATCTGAAATTTTTATGTATTTTTAATTGAATGAATACTCGTTTGTACTTCAAAACTTCTTTTTATTTTAAATGGATGTAAATTTCATAAACTATCGATAATTTTATTGTTCTACTTCAATAATTAGAGGTAATAATTGCAAATATAAATTTCAATCTTTACCGTGACGAAAATGATTTTCCTATTATTGCGAATGTGTTAAAGAATAACAGTGTAATATATAATTTTGACAATAAATTTTAATAATTTATGGTACATTAACTGTGTTACTTTCTTAATTGGTTTCCTTCGCAAGTCACGGCTGTCAGCCTATCTGGGTTTATAAGCTGTATGAATATATATTACACGAAGAATACAAACAAAATATACAGTACAAGATTACGTTCATCACCTTTTTTTATTCCTTAAATTAAATTTAAACATATAAAATACTTGATCGTACTCTGACCTGATCTAACAATATTAATTAATATATCGATAAGACATTTATATAGATTTACTGATGTTAATTTTAAATTAAAGATATCTGTATAATTTCTTTTTATAGAATCTAAACTAAACTGTAGTACAGATATTACTATTATTAGCCTATATTATTTACATGACCTTTTTAATCATTGTAAAATATATTTTCTTTTCAGATTTTTGAATGATGAATTACTTTCATTTCCTTACGCGGACGATGGATTCCAAATGTACTTAATCTGCAAACAATATTTTATTAACGAACTTCAAGAAATATATTTTAATACTTGCATCACGTGGATGTACTTCCACCGCGCTTGTCATATCCACGATTTGTCCTGTAGACACAACGAAAAACAATTGCAATATCATTGTTGGAAGCATTTCAGTCTGTCTGAAAAAAGTTTATTTAGTAGAGATGATTTTCAATTGTGTGAAGAAACTACTGTCCACAAGTTAATGACTTGCCCAGTGTACGTCAGTCTAGACGAGCTCGATTTGTTCCATGGACTTAGCATGTGGATCGAAAAAACATTTGTGAAATTGAGGGCAAAAAATGGCAGCATATCGAAAAGAGACGTCATAAAACCTTTCCTGTCTTTCATCAGATATTTTGTTATAGAATCCGAACACTTAACACGTATTGTGAACGACTGCCACGAAGAACAAACTTTAACAGAAGAAGAAGTTCAATCCATAAGAAGATATATCACTCAGAAAAATGTTGCCATTCTTCCAGAAATAGTATCTGCTAATGTTATTCCTCGAAGGCTTTCAGATTATTTTTCATTTATTGCCAAAAACCCCGTGACAGAAGAAATATTAGAAAACGAAGAAACAATGGAAGCAGATTTTCGGTTTATGGCTGATATTTGGGTACACGAAAAGTGCTTCTTGGATGAAATTAAACTGCCACTAACTTATAATAAAACTCAACGAATAAAGGTTTTCGTCGGTGTTAAATCGACTTACACACAAGATTTTGTATACGAACAAAGCACGTGTTATAACAACGGAATTGTTGTTTTAAAGAAAGCGAAATTGCTGTCGAAGCGTAGCTTTTATATCTTTTCAGTTAGGATTCCTAAAGAGGTAATAGATTCCACTTCGATAACGGTTTTACAAAATGTACAAGGATACGTTCCGATCTACGATTTCCTAGATACAATTACAAGACGTAAAGACAAAAAAACTAAATTTTCTTGTACTCTTTGCCTCTGTTTTTAGAAATTCTTTTGATGTTTATCTGAAATTTTTATGTATTTTTAATTGAATGAATACTCGTTTGTACTTCAAAACTTCTTTTTATTTTAAATGGATGTAAATTTCATAAACTATCGATAATTTTATTGTTCTACTTCAATAATTAGAGGTAATAATTGCAAATATAAATTTCAATCTTTACCGTGACGAAAATGATTTTCCTATTATTGCGAATGTGTTAAAGAATAACAGTGTAATATATAATTTTGACAATAAATTTTAATAATTTATGGTACATTAACTGTGTTACTTTCTTAATTGGTTTCCTTCGCAAGTCACGGCTGTCAGTCTATCTGGGTTTATAAGCTGTATGAATATATATTACACGAAGAATACAAACAAAATATACAGTACAAGATTACGTTCATCACCTTTTTTTATTCCTTAAATTAAATTTAAAAGTTATTAATTAATAATGTCAAATTCTAATAAAATCAGAATTTATCGAAACAATTCGTTATATTCCCCGTGTGTTATTTTTTTCTTTCTTTTACTTCAGTTAAACATTCATATAAATTTAAAAGTATCATCTAGGTTTAAGGCTTTTATGTCCAACAGATGGCGCTACGAGTACTACGCCCTAAGTTTGCTTTTCTGTGAGGATGAACTAAAGCGGATTAACATCTATCTATATAAATGAAAATGTAATGTTCGTTTGTTCCTACCGGTTCCTTTGAAATTTTGACACAACGCCGCATTCGAATATGCACGTGTTTTTATGTAATATACATGTCAAAATTCCCCCACTAGAAGGAGATGGACAGGATTAAGGCTTACCGTAAAGAGCTCTGCTTCTATTTATACTGTTTTAGATGCGTTGATGGCGTTTTAATAGGGTACGTCAAGAGAATGTACACTAAGAAGGGATTTTTCGAAAAATCCCCCCACGGGGAAAGTGTTATACATTTATAATAGATACATTTTGAGCCACAACTACGCGTAGCGGGGTGTGCTAGTTCCTCAATAAATCCGTTAATTTTTAATATTTGATATACGAAATATTTTCATTGATTTTGTATTCTTTTGCGTAACAATTGTTACGCGAACATAATCAGTTGCTTTATACATATTTGAATTAATCGTCAAAAACTCGGTTGATAAATCTGTTGTTATTCTCCAGTGAGAAACTTTCAACACGGTAATAATGTCGATGTTTACAGATGTTAAAAGTAAGAAGTGGCACAGTTACAGAAAATCATAGCTCTAGACAGAGCTTAATGTTTAGAATACAGCACTATAAAATCTAGAAACAAGTAAGATTAAGACTTCCGTTTCTGAAAGACATCGTATTTTTCCATATTGCAAGTTGACTATACAAAAAAGAAACTTTCCAGTAATACACAAGTACTGTACTGTACATGCATTGCCTAGCGGCCATTACTTTCTCTGCGACATTTACAGCAAAATAAATAAATTTATTTAAAAACAAACATGTATAAAACAAGCAGAACTTTCTCTGTAATATGCAAATGTTCTAAATATAAGAATAGAATGCAAATTAAGAATGCCACCTTGAAAAACCATTTGGCAACATAGGAAAACGATATACAGTGGTGCCTCGTATAACGTACGCCTCGAATAACGGACACTGCAAACAACGGACTTTCTGTTTGGTCGTTACGTGACTCGAGCAACGGACTGGCTGCGTACAACGGACTTTGAGTGAACAAGTGCGAATGATGTGTCCACTCTTTTGCCGTTGCCAATGACAATCTGCTATTTTTATAATATATTAGTATTATTAGAATATATTATTATTATATCTGAAGTACAGAGCTCCCGTTGAGATTCGGCTTGCTCCCTTGTTTATTACGTACAGTACATCACCTCAGTGCAGGGTATATACATTTATTCAAGTGTTGTGCAAATCATGGCTTCTAAAACAACAGAAAGATGATTTCAATTGAAACAAACCAAGATGAAAGTTGACAAAAACTTCTTTCTCAAATGGGAAGAGGTTCAGGAATTTACTAACACTCGTTATCTAAACAGAGCTGAGCCCAACAGAATCAATGATCTCTACAATGACACCCTTGCCCGTCATTTCCGACAGGTGTTGAAGAAGACAGAGAAACAGACCATCTTGGACACGTTTTTCAAGAAGCCAGCTGCCAAAAAACAAAGGATGGAACAAGAGGAGTTGACCCTGCAAGCTTTTTTTTACTCTTTCTGACCTGTGGGCATTAAGAGGGCCTCTTAAAGCAGGCCCATTATGGGTTCGGCCAGGCCCACAATGGGGCAATCGGGTGGTGAGGGATGGAGCCCGACATATCCGAACAGACCACCCCTGAAAAATTCCTGGGGATTCCTTGACCTGTCCGGATCCGTTCCCAGGTCCCCCAGAGTGGTAGGCTGCCACCTTGACTGCTCGGCCATCCGGCTTACCCTGCAAGCTCTGGTAGCCTCTCCTGAATCTGACTCCGATTAAAAAACCTGCTGCAATATGTGAAAAGTCTGTATCTGTATGAATGTGTAAAAAAAGTGTTCCTCCACCTCTTCCTCACAACATCTGACTACCCGGCATAATTGGTGACTGCTCCATTTTCATTTGTTATGGTACAGTACGGTTATTTTATGCTGCGGGACGAATAATGTTTTAACATGTATTTCTATGAAAAAATGGGTTTCGTATAACGGACTTTTCACTTAACAGACGTGCACCTGGAACGGATTAAGTACGTTATACGAGGCACCACTGTACTTACAAAAGAGTCAATATCATGTAGTGTGCTAATTGCTAAAGCACTGAAACTCTCACCAGCAATAATTTTTATTTATAATTATTGCTTGCGATAATTGTTACAGAATTATGAGACAGAACGCACGAGAACTGAGCATGTAGATTCCAAAGCACTCTTTTGCCAAGAGCATGTCGTTTTGACCATGTTCTACAGCTCTCAGTTGGGTATTAATTTATACAATATTGGTTTTTACCCTTTACAATCAGATTTTCTGTACTTTACACTAAAACTTCCTAAAATTATTTCCACACTTGCACAAGGAATCTCTGCCTACCACCGGCCTTCTGCAGTAAGAGGTTGGGTGCAAATAATTTTTGGAGGTTGCAAAAAATTATTCAACGATAAAAATGCTTAAAAACAAACAAATTGTTAGCATCTGATCATTGGGAAATTTACATTTAATGTTTACAATATCCTATTATGATCCTCCAATCCTAATACTTAGATATCACAGAATACACAGCGTAAAACGTGGACATAAAGAATTCACATTTAATGTTCGCCATTGCCTTCGTTGTGGCGAACGTATCGAAATTCAGTTTGTCTTCAGGCAAAATGTCTTCAACATTCCACAATCTTCTGTTTCATGAAAACATGGCACGATTAGGTAGAACCAGAGCCAAAAGGTTCACCTAAAATGGAGTTAGGACCAGTGTCACGATAATATACAGAGAATATTACTTGTAGCCTATCTGTTTCGTATTATTTATAGAACCCGTGCTCCTAGTCCATGGATTTTTCCTCGACTAAATGAATGCAATGTAAATGATGTAATTTCGAAAGAGTGTCTTAAATAGAATCAGTGAAGCAATACAAATGTATAAGACTCGTATTATTAATCCCTTTATACAAAAATTCTCAATGAGTTTAAATTATTTACTTAAAGAAGGATTTATACAATAGAAAACATAAATAGAATTTCTTCCATTCAATTAAAACTTATTAATTATCTATTTAAGATAATGTTAAAATATTTTTTTAATTATGCAAAATGTTGTTTTTTATTTAAAAAAACAAATATTTTATATATAATATTGAGTTTAAATTATTCAGCATCCATCTATAAATGAGCTAATTTGCATATGAAGTGAAACGTTCGAAAAATCGTTTATTATGTGGTGAATTTCGTGTTCGATTTTCAGTGTTAAAGGAAATAATCGAGTGACGATAACAGATTTTGTTGTGACTTATAATTCCTTCAATTTTACAATATTATTCTGAGTTATTGCAAAGGAAAATGTCAAACGTAGAAGAAAAAGGAAGATTCGACCCGGACAAAGTGACTATTATTAACGACAGTGAAGAATCTTTGGTGGTATCACGAACATCCTTGATACAAAGGGGAGGATTACTGAAGAACTTCTTAATTGTGTGTTCGAACGAAATGAAGTTTATTCTCAGACTACTTGTGACACGGCAAATGCTCGATCAATTTGCCAGGTTTGTACGAATCTCTTCCATAAAAGTTTTTTAATTAGGCTTTATTATGTAAATATTTATCATAATAATTCCGAATATCGTTGCAAGTATGTAAAATAATTTTGCATAAATTCGGATTATAAAAATAAGCATTGACGGATTCGTGTTGATGATTTACTTACTCCATAAATATAATCTTCCAAAATTTTTTAACACAATATAATTACAGTAGAGCCTCGATTATTCGACCCAATTGGGGACTGGGGTTGGTCGGATAATTGAAAAGTCGGATAACCGAAAAGTATGAAAAAATCCATTATTAGTGTAGTATATTATTATATCCCATGTAATTAGTTTATTATTATATCGCTATTAACCTACTTCGCGTTGAATTTTCATCGATGTTAAGCCTAACAAAAATTTTTTAAAATAATCGTCGCTATTGTATCGTTAAAAATTAAAAAATTAAGCCTCTTTAAATACTGGCTCCCGTTCATGGTCGAATGAGTGTTGCCAGCTAAAACACGTAAAAATAATATTAAAGTAGCCAAGACATAGCCAAATATTGTAGCGCCACATCACTAGCACATTTGAAATTTGCCGACTAGGACGGTCGGTTAACCGAGGTGTCGGTTAATCGGGGGTCGGATAATCGAGGCTCTACTGTACAGAAATATTTTTAACGGATTATTTCAGAAATTTATCTAGAGATACAGAATTATTTTGAATAAATCGAGCCATTCAAATGCTCCATTGTTTCGGTTCGTTGTTGCTTTGTGTAATAATATCTAAAAGATGATTGAAAAATGATATACCTGTTTGATCTGGTGTTATTTTATGCGAATGCACGCTGAAATACAGTGGCGTACCGTAGGTGTCAGCCGCCCGGGGCAGAAGAAAATTTCGGCTCTTCCTCATTTAAGTATTTCAATTTAAAAGACCAAAATTCAGTTTTGTCACAAAACAAGCAATGAAATTCCGTGCTAGTGCAGCGACCTGTTTAAAATAGTTCTATTGGATATTAGTGGTGTATATGAAAGCGAATGAATCGTACAAGCAAAAACAAAGGTCAACAGGTTTCACAGGATTTCCTGGGATTAAAAATTACTAGTTCATCTGGACGGCAAGCCAATTCCCGGACTATCCGGACAATAGCACTATCGTAGGCGCGATGCAAGTATAGATTAGGATGTTTCAAATTTTTACAAGATATTATTATTATTTATTGTGAAATTTTGCCGCCCCCTAAAAAGTGCCGCCCGGGGCCCACTACGGCACGCCACTGCTGAAATAATATACAATTATTTATACAACTTTTCTCATCTTACTCCAATGTGTACTTTCGTTTCAGATATTTGGAGGACGAAGTTATTATCTTTACTTCTGCAGATAACGGATTCCTAATGTACTTGTTCAGCAAACGTTACTTTATTACTCAACTTCAAAAGATATGTCACAATTTCCTGAAGGACTCGGTTCGTAACGGAAACGTTTGTCGTATCCACGACTTGGCTTCTAGACATAAAGAACGACAATTGCAATATCAATGTTACAAACAGTTCAGTTTCTCTGATAACAATATATTTTGTAGCGATGACTTTTTATCGAGCGAAGAAACTACAGTCTTTAAATTACTGGCCTGTCCTGCCTACGTCAATCTAAACGAATTTGCTTTGTTTATTGGTCTTTCCTTGTGGGTCAAACGAACATTTCTCAAATTGAGGAAAACAAATTCCGAAATATCGATGACAGAAGTGGCAAGTCCTTTCCTTCCTTTGATCAGATTTTTTACTATAGAATTAGAACACTTAAAACAAATTATACACTTCTCTATTGTGGTTAAGATTTTGACAAAAGGATATTTCGGATCCATAAAAGAATATCACGAGCGTAATAACGTGGCAAAACTTCCATTAACAATTTCTGCTAATGTTATTCTGCGAAATATTACCGATTATTCTTCGTTTATTGCCGTAAGTGTTTCGAAAGGCCATAAGTTAAAAAGAAATAAATGCATGACGGACAACTTGTCCTTTCTTTCTGACATCTGGGTACCCGAAAATTGTTACGTTGTTGGGATTAAACTGCCAGTGATCCATTGTAATCCAAGAAAAATAAAAGTTTTGGTCGGTGTAAAGTCGGCTTATTCGCAAAGTTTCCTGTACGAAAGAAGCGTTTGCGATAAACACGGAATGGTACAATTAAAAACCGTGAAATTGTTGCCGAAACGTAGCTTTCACGTGTTTTCAGTTAAAATTTTGAAAGACGACATCGATTCCAATAATATAACGGTCGAAAAACATACAGGAAAATACTACCAATTTTATAATTTTGGAGATACCATAGGACGTAAAGAAGAGAAAAGGAGATTTCAATGTAAAATTGCCATCATTTTTTAATCTGTATACATTGTGTTTTATACTGTAGTATACTTCTTATGTATTTTAAACAAATCGTCTCTTGTTATAATTTTAATGATATACGAGGACTTTACAGAATATCGAGAATTTTTTTTTAATTTCCAATGATTAGACGAGAGTGAATTTATTTTATTTGTAGTCTTTACCGTGACGAACAATGATTGATATCTATCACTCTGGTTAGAAATAGAGAGGCGCGGAAATCACGAAATTCACCGCAAAATCCAAATTTTTAACGTTAAATCGAGTCGATACGCAACAATAAAATTCTCTTGTTGTTGAAAGAGGATCTATTGTTGACTCGTGCGTGTTTTTTCGAGTTTTGCTTCATTTGCAGCGATTCATAAGTAAATTTAGACTATGATCTTTCTAGATTTACAGTCGACCCCCCTATAATTACGGTCCCTATAATCACGATTCCTATAAAACTACGAAAAAAAATTGTGACCGGTATCCGTAAAAAACAGTAAAAAAAACCCCTATAATTACCTCAAACGTCATCGGGCAGCCGAACTAATTTCCCGCCGTCCGTAGCGCCAACTACGAAGAGATTTCTATCGTCTGGACAGTATTATATTAATTATATATAAATTAGGTACTGTATATATAAATATATATTAACTTAATTTATTGTAACTTTATTATAATTATATATTTTTTTTCCGCCGCGTGGCGTTACGCTACGGAGATTTTACGCTAACTATCGTCTGTACAGTATGTAAATTAGCTACCGTAAGTCTAATACATTTGTAATTTAAGTGTAATTTTATACATTTCTTGTGAAAGAAACATTTCTTATTCAACGGCGATAAAAATTATTTATATTAATGATGTCTCCGAAGTTCAACGAAGTTTTCGCAAAAAAATAACTTGTTTTCGTCGCGGAGCGTCCCTCCGCGACGAAAACAAGCATTAGCAATGGCGGTGCACACTCGGTAAGTAATCCTACAATTTTTTGTTCATAGCGTAGTTTATACGGATTATTTCCAAAAAATATATAAGTATTTTGGAAATGTTGAGTCGGATTAGTCTAGAATCGATTAATTTTATGGAAGAAAACCTTTCAAACAGCCGTAGTCAGTAAACGTGACACGTGTCGGGTTGTGATTGGAAGGATTCGTAAGAAATCGGATTCCTAAAGAATGGAACGTATCTATATCTTATAGGGGGGTCGACTGTAAATACTTTTTAACTTTAAGAAAAATATCGATGGGTTTTTAGTAATAATTGATCGGTTTCCTTCAGAGGAATCGCGTATTTTCATTGTTAATTTTCCAATGAAATTCTTAAATATTGCCTTTAAACACTACAACTGGTCAAGGAAACTTATAATACTGGTCTGTAAAAACTGTATTTCCACCATCTGTTCTACTAGTAAAAAATTTTACTACAAAATAACGGATATAGCTCACTGGAATGCACTAAACGTTAAACTTTAACAAAAAAAAACACATTGCAGTCGATATGTGTCCAAAGCAGAATTATGATTACTTCAACAATAAAAACTGTATATGGAATTTTCACGATTGTACTATATATAAATTTATACATTTAATAATGCTACAAGTTAATTATTCATATTTAAAATGATGATAATTAAATCTTATGTAAAAGCGCTTAGCTAAGAAACTTTTACTTAGAAATATGCTAAGGTAATATGTTTTGTGAGATGATATGTTTCACATATTTGCATATTTGAAAAAAATAATTAAGATAACTCATTAAATATTAAAACAACAATCAAATGTTATATAATATTTAGTTCGTAACTTAAATATTATGTTGTTACGTAATAATAAATTATATTTACCCCATTTGATGTGTTACGTTAGCAGCTTCTGGTAACAAAATTGTAACTTCTTCAAAATTCACATAAACTAGACATGGAAGACAGGACTGTTACTGCTTAAAATAGTGCGACAGGTATTAAGTTTTCTATCAGTACAAACAACAGTTATATTATCCATTTTTCTTTAGTCGAAATCTAAACGATTCTAGTTAGTAACAAAGGTAGAGAAGACAATAATGTTCATCTATTGTTCTACTGCTTAACAATGTAATTGGTTAAGTCATCGAGCGTGTTGCCTAGTAAAGCGGCTATAATACAGTTGGATAAGCGAGCCAATAGTTCATATTTTATGAAACGGACCACGTGAATGATTTGCTTATCCACCTGTATTAAGATCAGTTTACAAGACATGTCCACTGTTTCATTTCAAACATTTATCTTAATATATTAACTTTCAACGCATACAAAACATACACGAACATACCAGTGCATTAAAATATCTTCAACACAATATTAGAGTATATAATAAAAAACGTATAATAACAGTGTGCTTAACAACTCATCTCTAAATACTACTACTTCGTAATTGAAAAATTGCCTGTATTCAGTTATTTAAACATTGCAGAAATGATCAAATAACCATTCTTGTAGTAAATTAGCAATATAATTTCTATACAGGGTATATCAGAATGACGTTTCAAAAATTTGGGGGATCGTAGAAGATGAAATTTTGAACGTTTTGATATAAGGAACACATAGCCAGAAATGTGATATAAAGTTTCTACAGCGGTAGGAAGTACTTGACCGCCCTTCACTTTGGTAGCTACCCTTCCGTCCACTGACGTCATGTTATTGTTTTTGACTTCTTCCTCTGAGGTCATGCAACCATTCCTCTATCATGCAACCATTAAACCAGAGCCGGCCATACCATAGGGCGAACGAAGCAGCCGCTCCAGGCGCTAAGTCCTAGGGGGCGCCTCAGTGGTAAAGAATATTAAAGAGTATAAATTAGGGGCAACCAAGGGGGCGTCATAATATGATCTCGCTCTATCCTGAAACTTGCCTCGGACCGTCACTGCGCTGTTTCTTTGTGAAGTGGTGGTTTCGGGGGACAGTACAATTTGCTTTTAATATATAAAAATATACAGATACGGATTATAAAGCATTAAATTTGCAGTAAAGGGGAAAATCTTATATTTCAGATAGAAAACAAATAACAAAATTTATTGGAACAGGAAATAAATGACTTCTAAATAAACTTTTAAACAGTTTTAGACAATACTAGCAAAATTTGATTTCATCATATAATAGTATAAATATTCTTAAATACAACTAAGAAAAATTTTAGATTAACACTTCTTTTACTTAAAAGTTTAATAAGAACTGCTATCTTGCACAAGGAGGAATTTGGGGATTTAATCCTTATTTGAAAAGAATTAAACATTAAATAAAATATAATACAAAAGGTAAACAAAACTTATATTAATCTTGTAGCCGTTTTCCTTAATTAATGTATTGTCTTATTTTATGTAGGACAATTTATATTGTAAAAATAACAAAAATACACTATAAAAATAACGTGTTCATTAAAAGCCCATCTTTTGAAAAATCCTGTATATTTCACAATTTTATTTTAAGCCAAGTACTATAATACACAAATTTGTGAAACTAATAAATTATTAGAAGTAAAAACAATAGATTTGAAGCAATTTATGAAAAAAAAAAAGATAAATACCTTAAAAGTTAAGTAAATATAGTTTATTTCGAGGATCCAAGAACTAATGGACCGAATATAATTTGACCATAAGGAACTGATTAGAGGTTTCACGCTGTTTAAGTGATAAAGGATAGCAAAGAATTCATTACGTTTAGTGGGGACTGTGACGTATCGCGCGCGGCAAAAGGGATAGCGCCGCCATTTTGGGGTCGTTTCGCAGCGTCACACACTTTCCGTTTACTATACATTTTGATTCGGAAAAGCTACGGCGCTCGTTTGAGTTTCAATTTACAGCTCTCGTCTATATTTATCTATTGCGTACACAAAGCATTAGTGTGGTATAGTTATTGTGAATACATATGGTGTTGAAGTTAAAAATTAAGAGAACTTAATACAATGTCGGCCTATACTCGTCGAAAAGCCAAATCAAAATATAGAAATCTTATAAAAGCTTTAATGTTTCAGCACAAGTAATTTAATAATTGATTTTTTGCTTTTCTACGAAGTTAATCCAGAAAAATAAATCGTCGTTATCAAACCTTAAGTTGTTGGATATTGTTGTAGAATGTTACGGTATTACCGAAAACGTAACAAATGTAATATCTATTAAACTGTGGTCCACGGACGCTTCGAAGTGCGAAAAGTTCTCAGGAAACACTTCAGCGACAACACGTGGTCGAGGTAAGCGAAGTTTTCAGGTAGACATGTGTCCATTGTCATTAATACTACACAAAGAAAACGAGTTTAAACAATGGCTGCCGAACGATGCAGACAATCAGTATTTCCTGTTGTTTTTTTGTTTATAATGTTTTGAATATTGATTATGGACTAAAAGTTTGGGTTTTTTGTGTTTTGGAAATGTCTCTTAAATGCAATTTATAAAAAGTAAATTAAAAGAAATATCAAGAATTATTTGTTTTACAAAAAATAAGTCTAAATTTAAATCAACTTGAAATTTTTACTTATTTATTTATTTTCCTATATATTTATTATATTCCGCTAGAACGTCTACATAATTGCTTTTTTAAAAATTATATTATTTTTTAGAGTTAATTAAATATTCAGAACAAGACATTATTAATTCCAAAATTAATTGTTCATTGTAGAGAATTTTCAAAATGAATAATGCCAATGGATCGACAGAGACATCGTCGACATCTCAAGAAATCTCTTCTCAAGTGTTAAAAATACAAGAAATTCTACTTCAAGTATTAAAAATACAAGAAATTCTACTTCAAGTATTTAGCAGTGGCGTGCTTTCATTGGAAGTGGTGGAAGCGAGTAGTATATAAAAGTCGGTTCTGCCCCACACTCAAAATTTAAGGTTTTTAAAATACAATGAATTTAATCAAAATGAATAGTAAAATTCAATGAATTTAAACAAAAACATTAAAAACAATGAAATCTCGTTTATTCCTAATTTTTAAGTTTTTTAAAATTCAATGAACTTAATCAAAATTAATCGTAAAATTCACTGAACAATGAAATCTCGTTGATTTATTATATAAATATAAAAAAAAGTCAAACAAACTCAATAATATGAGCTTTAAAATTATTCGCTCGATCTTCCATTCCCTTATAAACAAATTTAAAATCAGACATTTTCTCAAAATCTTCATTCTTTAAAGATTTAAATAACGAAGATATTAAAGAAACTTTTTATGAAAATGAGTTAGTGAAATATAATAAAAAGGATAAAGTTTATAAGATATAAAAAATAATTAAAAAGAAAGGAAATAAATATTTAGTTAAGTGGTTAGGATATCCGGATTCATTTAACAGTTGGATTGATAAGTCTGAAATTTTTTTATATTAACATTGAAAATT